TATTTGCGTGCAGTTTCCTGGAGGGATCAGGAAAAAAATCACCCACCTAGAATAATTATTGGCCCTGTCTTGCTGCCTTTGCAGAGAAGGAAAGGGGCCCAAAGAGTACCCCTCCCTTGCCTTTTTTCCAGCCTGAAGTGGTTTTCCACGATGGCAGATGTGTTTCTTTGTTTCCTAACAGGAAGGATCCTGATTCCAGATCCCCCTCTACAAAATAGCCACCAGTAAGATGAGTCAGGATTTCTCTACCGCCCTTTCTTATCTGCCCACAATCTTGTTCTGCTTAAGGGGAAAACAGAGACTATGGAGATCAAACAGATCTCATGCGCAAGCAGCCTGTCCCCAAAACTCCACAGTTCCCAGCCCATCCCCCACTGCTCCTTCCCTCCTGGCAACACCATGTAAATCAAAGAAGGGCATGACACCTATTTCTATTTGAATTCTTTTTCTTAAATGTCATCATTGTCCCCCTCTCATAACATTCATATGAATTCCCAGCTCCTCTCTAAGGTGGGAAGAAATGTTTAGTTCCCTTGCCATAAAAAGCACGGAAGTGGCAGTCACAGGGATGCAGAGGCTGCGTGTGCCGCTCCCACCCCTGATCCCAGGTGAGGGCTGATCACCATGAGCTTCCCCAGGGCAGCACGCACAGGCTGCGCTCTGCAGGCAGCAGCTCCGGCTTCCTCTCCGCGTGGCCCTTGCCCACGGGGATGGAGGGGTGTGCCGGGGAGGAGCACACACAGACAGAGGGTGCAGACGCCTTCCTGGACTAAAGCATCCCACCGAGGCCATTTGTAGCTGACAGCCCTGTAAGTTAAGGAGCCCTCATTGCAGCAGGCTGCTACAGCCGGGTTCCGCGCTGCCACTGCGCAGAGCCAGCTCCCATTCCAGAGCCGCACCTACGCCTGCCCTTGCGGGGCCGAGCCTATTCACGGGGTCAGGTGAAAGGCTTGGCACAGTCCATCACCCTCCCTTACATGAGCTGTGCACACCCACCTTTCTGAAGGTACAGGAAAATCCTGTCTGATCCCTGATAAGGAGAGGGTTGCCCAAATCTTAAAGAAAATAAGCATGTTAAATGTACATAAGCATGTAAACACGTGCATGACAGCTCGGCCCTTTATCCCCCACTGTGTTTCCAGCCATGTAACTTCCACAAGTAAGAGTCTCAATACATCTGGATATTGACTCCAGGGGTATAAAGGTAGTTCCCTCCTGGGGCTACAGTCTTGTAGCTCACAGTGTGCCAAGCAAGCAGAGAAATTATCCTGCTGCCTGGGGCCAGCAGTCTGGGTCCCACAGGCGGCCCTTTCCCTCTGCCACCCCCCAGCGCCAGCAAACAGCTGATGTTCAGTTTCATCAACTGGACACAGGTGAGCTGAACCGTGATCCCAGAATGCCTCCTAACCACCTCCTAACCACATCTAAGCACATTCCTAACCACACATTACATGTAATCTTAGACCTCTTTGCGCACAGAGGAGCTATACTTTGGATTTGAGAACACTGGAGAGGAGCAGAAGAAGCAGTTCACTCATTTGGGAATGGAAAAGCTGGGAGGAGTTAGTCAAAAGCAGCTGAGGAGAGGCATGGCAACCTCCAGCTCAGTCTGCAGAGATTCCCTGCTTTCACAGGCCTCTCAGCTGAACTTCTGTCCCAAAATAGCCGCGTATTTCTCTCAGCTTCTTTCCCTGAAGGAGCTCAGTACATCTTCCCCAGACACCCCCCTTGTCCTGCCCCCTCCATACCTGCTGTCACCAGCCACCCCGGGGTGCCACCCACCTGCAGCCAGGGGGGTCCATGGTGGATGGAGCTTCTCTTAAAGCCGGGCTCTGCCTAGGAGGATCTAACCTGGCTTCCCAAGATACTCGGTTGTTATAAACCTCAGCCTCCTCATGCTCTAGTCTAAACTAGAAGTTGCTTTTCTCTTTGAATAGTTGGCTAGCAGCGACATGACATCAACAGGGAGCAGAACTCAAGCAGAACAGTCGAATTACATCATCCAAAGAAACTGGAGCCCCTCACTGCATTTGAAAAAGAGGACAGCTTAAAGCAAAATCAGATGGATTTATTTTTCCTGGCATGAAGAAGTTCAGTCATCTTTTTGAAACATAAAATATATGTTTGCTTGTTTGGTCATGAGTTAAAAGACATTTTCTCCTTGGAGCTGTTTATATTATCTTGAAATTTCCCTTCTGTTTCTGAACCTCAAATAGTTAACATAAGAGCTTCAAAGGCTTTTTGAGATGAACACATGGAACACATGGGACAAAGGACTCTCGGTCTCTTTCCATTTCATACAAACATAGATAAAAGGTTTCAAGTGACAAAGTAGCCTTACTATTTTGAACAGGAAACTGAAACTGGGCCTTAGAAATCACCATGTTGGTAATGCCAGATCTAACTAGCGTATTTTTATCATTTAATTCAGATATTTCAATTTTTTTCACTGCTACTAATGAAGACTGTTGCATGAGAATGAAACTTTTTATTCACAGCTGTATTTTAGGGGGTTGTTTGTATATTGGACTGATAAAGCACTTAGCTCCATTTGTTGGTGAAAGAAAACTCTGGGATTCACATGTGGAAGTGGCTCCCAGCACCCTCAGTGCCAGAGCCCTGCACCCACCTCCAGGACAGCGCACATCATGGTGTGCCCTCAGGTTCTGGTTCTCACTGCCCTGGCCAGCAGATTACTGACTGCAAACCAGCCCAGCCATCCCAGTTTCCTTGGGAAGGTGTCAGTCATGTGGAATGGTTGAAGATCATTGGCAAAAACACTGTATAAATGTTTAACAAAAATGTATAAACAGTTAACATTAAAGGTGAAAATTCTAGCAGATTCGAGCTAAGACACGCTAACGCAACATGAATAAAAACGGCAATTACTCTCCATTGTAGGCAAAAATTGCCAAGCCCTGAGTTTACTGGTTATACTTACATTTTTTGTTGTTAATCTCTTACTTTCAGACTAGACACAAAATAATGTATTTTGAGAAAAAACCCACAGAATTATAACAGAAAAGAGAATCACTAAGCATGAGCAGCATGTTTCAGCAACTCCTTGTTTAAACAATTGAAAAATGGTGAACGTAGAAATCTTACAGTACATCTGAAATACAGCACCTGGTGACAGATACATACCATTCATGAGCTATTTTCACTACAATGAAGTCTTCAAAGCTCCAGACTGAAGTGGAATATGGGTTGCTGAGCTAGCAAGACTTTGGAAAGAACACAGACAAGCTCCATCTCAGAGAAAAGAAAAGGTGGGAAAACAAGTTAGATGTGGCATTAGTGAGCTTCCAATATTCACTGGACCAGAAACTGAGCCCACAGTATATCAGCAGGTACAAACCCATGCTAGCATGAAGTCCTCCAACAGGAAAAGGGAGAGGAGACTGCCTCAAAACCACAGTTTCCATCCATATTTTTCCCTCAGGTCAGAAGAGCTGCATAGATTCAGGGCTTCTGAACAAACTGGTGAAAAACCACCTCATCTTCCTGCCTGTGTTTTGATCGCAACAGGTGTTTATTTGGTGTGGATATTTATTTCCAGCTCATTGCTGTGATCCCTGAGCAAAGGAAGGCACTTTCAGCAGATGCATTTGTTCATCTGTCTGAGCAGGGCAGGGCATCCAACCTTTTCTGCTGTTTTCATAGCCAGGTCAGGCAGGCAGGACCAAGGGCCAAGATTTCAAAATGTCCTCTGCCATCACAGTTCATACTTGCAGCATGGCAAGATCACAGAAACACAGAGCAGTGTCTGCTCCAAAGGCCTTACAAATGCACCAGGCATGGGAGCAAATAAGTTTTGGAGAAACTAAGTGGCACCCCAGTACTCTTATTTTTCAAGGTTAGTACTGCCACTGGAGTTAAAACAGAAATACTTGTTTCACAGTTTAAGAGTGCCAAGTATTAGAAGCAACAATTACTGCAAAACTTACAAACTGGTATCTTGGACACTTGTCTACTTTTCCTGTTATCCAAATATGAATTGAGGATTAGAGAGAACAACTGCTGAAGTGTGCTGTAGATTTTTCAAAATCTGAAATGTCTTATGAGCACATAAAACAACATTCTATTAAAAATAAAACCCCAAAGAGCAACCCCTCCCACATCCAAACACCACTAAAATCTGCCCTTCTTCAGATTATTTTTTACTTTTACAAGGAGCTGTTCCAGCAAGTTGCTACAGTTCAAGCTCTATGGAGCCTTCAGGAACCCACACCTTGTTTCACTTGCTTTCATGTGTCACATGGCATCAACACAGGAACTCCACAGCAGCTGAATTCTGACCACAGCAGGAGCCATGGCTAAACTGTAGCACCCTGATGGCAGAGATATATCTCTGGAAATGCCTCAAGTAAGATGTGTGCATAGGGGAGAAAGAAGGGGCCAGAGGATTAATTTCAGCACAGTGTTACAATGAGTGTTCTATTGATGCCATTGGTTATTTTCAAGTAGTAGGCAGCATGGTGTGGAAGACGTCTTTGGATTTTTTGGGACAAACACATCCAAGTGCTTTCTGCTAAGCTGCTATTCAATCTACTCTTACTTTACAAGGTTAGTACCCCCACCGAAGTTAAAAGTACCACCAGATCAAGCTTCAAACTTTCAATCCACACAAGAAGTTTTAGATTTATGTTCCACACTTGGACTTTACAGAACTTCCAGATTTAGACATTAGGAAGCTCCAAAATTACATTCTGCTATAACATGTAATTACAGAGAGGTGCTGGAAGTTTGTGGGAGTTTTTTTAATTCTTTACAGATAAATTTAATACTTGAACTAAGCCTTAGGACAAGCAGTAATTTCAGCAACAAGTTCAAGGGCACAGAAAAGAAATAGCCAGAACTTATTATGGATACACAAACCGAGGTGGGAAAATCAGCAGCTTGCCAAACAGCTACTCTGCCTATGAGCCTTAAGTAGCAGCATTACAAAATATGAGTCACTGAAAGATTATCTTCCAGAAAGAAGCATACAAACCAGAATCTCAGGTAGTTCAATATTAGTTTATTAAATCAGCAATTTTTATCACTGCTTTCTAAAAATGATTACAAAGCATATTAAAATATATTACAGTATCTGCAAAGAATTTACTGTGTAATAAAAGTGCAACAATAATGAACTTACAACTTCGTTTGCCTAGTTGTGCAAACTGAAGCACACTGCACAGATCAAGCCTTTCCTCAAAAATCAGAGTGCCTTTTAAGTGAAAACAGTGTTTAACAAAAATATTAAAAAAGGTGAGCATGTGAAATACAAAATTAAGTTCATGATCATTCCTCAGTGCTAAGTTACACATATCCATCAAACCATACACTTCAAACTCTACTTGAGATCCAACAATTTAAAGAGCCACTAAAATGAGTGCACATATTGAAGGGAAGAAAGTGATGGAAAGAAAAGAGGGTGCATTTCAAGTGCTGGCAATAAACAATATTGAAAGCCAGGGACCACATGCCTGCTGCTTTGAGACCAGGTTCCACACAAATCCACACCACACCCAATTAACAAACGGGACCTCAACCTGACTTAAAATCTTTGTAAACTCTCCAATTTCAAGCTGTCACAGCTTTCAAGTCTCTCAGTGTCCTGTATTGTGGTTAGGAACTGTAGCCCCACATTTTCTGTTCCAATCTGGAACAAAAACTCATAATTTCTGAAGGAATAGAACTAGGGTTGTAAATTGAAACTGTGTTGTGGAATAGTTGGAGAAAAGCTAAAAGCAGCAGTTTCTACTTTAAGATAGTAGGCTACATCAGTGGGCACAGATTTCACAGGATGAATTACAGACAGCTTTGAATGATCTTGCAGAAAACGTTATTAAAATCCTAGGCATAAAATGTCCAACCAACTCAACATCTTCACCTTTCTTCAGCAGACATTAGTAACAAACTGAACACCAAAGATTACTGCATACTGCTGTTAAAATAAACAGAGCATACTATCCTGAGAGAGGCAATCCTGTTCACTTCTCATGCTTCTAACACACGGATTCACCAACTCCCCAGAACATTATCCAAACACTTGTGTGTGGCTGGTTTAACTGAACAGGTTTGCAGGCAGCCAGCAAGGGAAACAGGGGAGGCTCATGGACCTGCGAGGATGTACTGAGAAGAAAACCCCTCCCCTGAGCAACAGCAATCTACTCCATCAGTTTAGTTGTGCAAGAAACTGCTGTTTAAAGTTCACATGAAATGTATTTTATTCCTATCATCTAAGTGTGATGCTAGTTCACTGTACCACATACCTAGTAATAGATTTATGTAGCTGTGTATGCCAACCATGAAACACACCTATTTCTCCAGACAGCCAGAGAAAATCCACCTCTACTCCTACACATGCTTTATGCATTCATCTTCCAAATTCTACAGGAACACAAAGCAAAATACTACAACCCCATCTAGGCAAAATTTTTTAACGTATCAAAAGGATGTATTTCAATTTGTCTGCCTTAAGACCAAGCTAGCATATTGCCACAGAGACTGAGGAAAAGGCTGTGTTCTCCATTTTACTACCAACAAAACTAGAAAAATAGAATAAAACCACTTAAACTATCCTGCTCTTCTCACCAAAGGAGGATATTTCTAATGGCATGGGATCACATGGCTCCAATATGTCTGGAGCATCACCCCTGGAAGCTACACGTGGTGGGAACTCAAGCAGGAGTCCCCTGCTGCAGCCCTGTGGTGCTGCAAAGCGAGCTAAGGCAGAGTCGGAAAATCATCAGCTTCCCAGATCCTCTCAGCTTTGCCTACACTCCAGTGGTCACAATACACAAGCTTGCATTCTTTCTCCTGGTGCCTTTCCTGATTAAGCTAGTCACTAGGACTAAGCTGGTCAGTAGTGCATGAAGTGGTACTGACTGCAGACACTACCCACAAACAAACACACATTACTACTTCTGCAGCCTTTTTCTTAACACCTGCAATGTCTACTGACTACTTTTTTCAATCAAAAATAAATTACATAGAAAATAGTTACTCTGCAGATGTACAGTCACACAGGTAGACTCAGCGTCAAGTTTCACAGGTCTACTAAAGTGCACAGAGATGCACTAAGGTTAATTTGGCTCCTAATTTAGGTCTAACAGAAATAAAGTTGGTATGCTTGAATGATAGGAAAAATACCTAAGAATTAAAAAACAAAACAAAACAAACCCCAAAAAAATGAAGTCCTCAGAACAATTCAACTGTGCCAGGACATCCTTGATACAGGCCCAGAAACCTGGCAAGGTAAAGGTGGTGTTCTGCCATTACTTAAAATAGCATCATTGTTTTCCCATGCAACAGCCCTGACAAAGTTCATGGAAATTGCATCTCAGAATAGAACAGATACAGAAAGATGAGAGGTCCAGAAAGATGTGAAGTATTGAAACTGACAACCTACAAAGACATGATTTGGGAAAAGAAGCTAAGACTTTTCCTAGATCACCCACAAAAAACTGAACATGGAAGTGTGACTAAAACCTTAACTGGAAGACAACATCCAAACTATTTCCTCCCCGCCCCTACTGCAGGGGTGTTAAAGCACTTTTTGGCTTGCTCTGTCTCAGAAGGCATTACTGCTGCCACTTACTGAGACTTAACAAGAAACTGCTGAAAACTACAGTACCTTTGATGTGTATGGTCTTTCCTATTACAAATGGAATACAAGTCAATTCCTGCTCATACACATAGACCAGAACTGGCTGCCAAATTTGATTTTAGGAAAGAACTGGCCCTCCCTGAAAGTCTCAAGTTCACAGGGCCAAAGACTTGCCTTCTTTTAAGGTATTGATAAAAATCAGTTGTAAGCAGACAGTATGTTCAGCTTTGATTGTATGTTGTTGGAAAATAAATGTTTATTAAGCATCCATTCCTTTCATGGATTGTTTTCAATAAAGGAGCAATATTTGGAGGAATGAGTCTGTCATTTATTACAGTCAATGTAACAGTTCCTGTTAGCCTCCCCATCCTTCAGATCTGCCACCATGAGAATTCAATCTCTCTTTTGTGGTTGTCAGCTACGTGTTGGCAAAAAGAGTTAAAATTTTTTCTTAAATATATTATATATTAAAAAATACACAGACATAACTGTATAATTAGCTGTAAATAGAAATTAAATACCAATGAAAATAACCCGAGAAAATTTGATGTGCTTTGAGGAGGCTGAATTTGAGCAATACACCTTTTCTGAACACAAAGTGAGGCTTAATTTCAATGCAAACATGGTTTTTTCAGCTTAAGAAACCATTCTGCTGTCACTTTGAACCATTCAGAAATTCATTGTCTGCAGAGAAGCTAAGATTAAACTGCAAAGAAAACTATAAATCCAGGGAACAAAAGAGATCTCAGTTCTAATGATAATACTGAATATATAGTGGTGCATAAAACTGAAGAAGCTATTCTTCAGATAAGACACAATGACAGATGGAAAAAAAATTTAGTATTTTGCAGTTCTAGATAGAATCTGAAGTTTTAAAACAACTTTGCTCATACACTGAGCACTTATGAGACTCTCCTCATTATTCTTCTACCTTTTTCTAACTCAAATTCAACAATAAAAAGAAAGAAAAGGATTTCCTTTTATATCAGCCTTTTCTTAGACTATAGAGAGACTTACATTCACTCAATGGCTTAAGTACATTTTTAGCATCTAAATATTCCTTGCATATGCAGGTGAATTTAACACTTTGAGCTTCAGTGTGCTATTCAGAATAGTTTAGAGACAGGGTTGGTAAGTATTTAGGTTTGGTGAAGGTCAGCAAATTTTATGCATGGTCTTTTCTGCTTTATGGTTGTGAAGGCAGCAAGACATGGACACAGGACTACAGAAACATTTTCACCTTATGACAGAGCTATTATAAGGCACTTGTGATAAGCATGTCTGAGTGAAGGTCAGCAGGGACAGTGACACGAATATTTCCCTGCTGCCATGCTTATGACTTCAGTAGCTCGCGTGAAATGTGCTATGAGGTTTACGGATCTAAGCTTAACTTCAAATTTTGGTATTTTCAGCACATTTCCTGTGGGAATTTCAAAATATTCACTCTTCTCCTTGTATTGTTCATTCTGCTGTCTGGAAAGGTTTCCTGTGAGATGGTGGCACCAGGTGGGAAGGTAGTGTGCCCGGCAGTTCATACCCATCCAGTTTAATCTTGATGAGGTGTTTTGCTAATGCAAACTCTTCATCATCCAACATCCCATCGCCATCACAGTCTGCAAGTTTCCAGATCTTCCCCAAGACGCTATTGGGCAGTTTAGAAGTCACCATCTCCTTCTTCGCACTAATCCCAGATATTTTGCCATTGATTGGTGACAGAGTGTAGAAAATCTCATCGTAAGCAGGTTTATCCTTGGCAACAACCCACTCCTCTTCATCAGCTCCTTCCTTAGCACCTTCCCCATATCCATGGCCAAAAGGTCCTGCCATGGTGCCATCAAATGCTCCACCGTGCACCATCTCTGTGGGCATGTTGCTCTCTTCCTGTCTGATGAGGTTCATCAGGGAGGCAATTTTGTTGGCCAGCATGTTATCCACAGTTTCAATTAGCTTTGGTTTCAAAGAATGAAATTTAGTGAAATCACAGTTCTCCAACTGCTCCTGTGAATGACACAGTGACAGTAGTTAAAAACAATTCCAATACACTGAAAAGTTTAAAGAATGGGCTTAAAATTAAAATAATCGAGTAATAATTAAATTGAAATAAGTATCTTTTGAAGCTGTTTCTGCAGCTGAAACTCCTCTTGATGGAGAAACAAAACACATGCACCATACAATCAATATATTTGATCAAACACACTAAGACAATTTTGCAACAGTGTATGAGCTTATTCATTAAATTACATTTACAATACAAATTTCTAAGTGCAGTGGATAAAACCACAGCAGTTGATGAACGTTACCCAGCAACTTTCCATTTGATGATTTTTTTCCAAACATCAAAGAAAGCGTGCAACTAAGTTCTCAGACCTGCTAGCACTTATGCAAGTGTTCAGAGTTAAAAATAAAATGAAATGTTTGCAGGACTGATCTGATTTTATAGATTAGACTTCTTGGTTGTGGTTAGGTCAGGAAAAGGTGTCCTTTACCAATAAAGAAAAGCTGAGTTGAGATAGCAGCAGCAGTGTTTTATAGCAGTGCTGCCAGAACTCATGAAGTCAGATGCTCGCTGCAGAATTTGTGGAGTTTTCATCCTAACACTAGAGAGATGTTTACCTAGGTGATATGTACTATTCCAACACAAGCCCAAGCATGTTTTGCACCACAGCATCAGAAAATTAAAAATGCTTTAGGTAATTATTAAGTTTTTTCTACATGCAAAATGCTTGCCAGGAAGAAAAAGTTACAGTGGAAAAGGTTAAAAAAACTCAAACATCATCACCACCACCACCTCCCACCTTCTGCAAAATGATGTTAAATTCCTTTAACAAATCCCATCTATCACCTCAAGGAGCTGCTCCTATACATATCAAAATGATCATGACACGAACCCAAGAAACCTGGAGCATGGGGTAAAAACAGTCAGCCAATAACTCTGCTAAGGTGACATTAATACACAATGACCTGATTTACAGCACCTGATCAGAATAAATGTATGTAGTGCAATAAATCTCAAGAAGTAAAGATCAACTTGCTATGAGTTTTGGCACAATTTTGTTTGCACACAATTTTGCTTTCTCACAATTTTGCTCCTCATTACAGAAGTCACTGATCTCCTGTACATATTTGCTGCCATCTGCTGCTGAGGCTTAACTGACATGTACTGTAAGTTTGAAAGAGTTTCGTCCAAATCTTTTTTTTCAATATTCAGATCTCTCATTCTCTCACTCTGTATCACAAGCAAAAGCAGCAAGGGAAGAAAGAGTCAACTTTTGCCACAAAATCCCCTTTCAAAGCCTAACTCATTAAACCCTTTCAACAATCCTGCCTGTGAAAACTTAGCAAAAATACATCTTGTGCTTCATCTGTGATTTACTATCTCATGCCAATAGTTGATTCCCCAGTTAAATACTTTAGTTTATGAAAGAAACGTGTGCCTTCCTATAGATAATCAGCCAACCATCACTCCTGATGATAGCTGTGCAAGTGTACCACATGTACTGTCAGAATGGTATGTCTGGGAAACATCCTCCATCACACTCATGACTAGTCCACGGTCAGAACAAACTGCAGGCTCCTGATCTCTTGTTCTTCAGCTTTAAAGCTGAATTACCCTCTAAAATTCAAAGGCCATTTAAGAAGCCTATGATCTGAGATACAAAGATTGCCAACTGATGCTTGAAATCACTAACAAAACATTAGGTGTTTTTCCCTGGGATATTTTCTAACTCATCTCAAATCAGAGAACAGAAATAAATAGGCAAGAAAGTGACAGGAAATTGGTTGAAAGACTGCAGAAAACCCAAAAGAGGAAGAGGCAAAAGGTATTTAAAAATAAGTTGTGAGCATAAACCAAGAACTTCTCTCTCTCCTTCACAGAATACAATCTTAAGAGGACAGGAAAAAAACCAAAGACTATTTTCAGAAGCAAGAGGTTTTAAGCTGGACTTTTCAAGTAACGCATTGCCTTTATTACTCACTGGGAAACAGTACCAGTAAGAACAGGAACAAAGTAGAGTAAAAATGAACTTATGGCCAAAGATATCTTCACCTACACAAATATTTGACACCATCACAAAAATGACAAATATAACCACATTTAGGATTCAAAAGAAGCCCCTTAACCTGTGAGTGTTCACTGCCATTTTATTTGCACAAAGCCTTTAGTACTTTCTGCCATGAGAGATCAAGTACTGACTAAAAGGACAGAAGGTGAGATTTTTTTATTCCTTATTTTCATAGTCTTTATGTAGTCCTGTATCAGTGAGTGCACACTAAGCAAGTTACCATTCTTTTTTGGTCTGTACCACTTCCAAGTCACTCTAATGTCTTATCAGTCTGACTGTCATTTCAACTGCTCAACACCCTAAGCTGTAATGCTGAGATACTCTGTTCTACCTTTTCCAACTTGGCAATCCTGCTGCAAAGTTAAGAGATATTTCAGTGGAATGGTAATCTATCATCTTACCTGCATTTTCTTGACTTCAGGGAAGTCCCCTGCTGAGATATGGTATTCCCTTTGGAGCTGGATGTAGATCTCAGGCAACTTGTTGATCAGTTCCTTCTTCTTATTCTCTTTCCCAAATACAGAGGGCATCTCTTTTTTCAGATAGCTGATGATATAAGCATGAACCTAAAAAGAAGCAAAACTGAAATCAAAACTACTGTTTACCGACACTTAGCAGTGGTGTTCCTCACCTGGGTCATAAAAAGAAACAGAAATATGTTTCCCTAAGGAAAGATACTATCAACTACTGTTTCTGGAACTTAGTGTTTACAACAACAGTTAGCTGTCTGTTGGTTATTATTAGCTTTTGCTGCTTTCAGCATTCCTTTGAGGGGCAGAGAGAAAGGAAACACATTTCAAGGAAATACAGATGCACACTTGCTCTTTTAAGGAGAAGCTTGGTACAGCATTCTGTGAGTACCAACAGCAAGAGAAAAGGCAAGACCACAAACCTCACGTCCTGACACTACACACACAGCTCCAGCCACACTGGTCCATTTGTATGATCTGTAGGTCATTTGCCACACCAGCCATTGTGGACATCAATGGAATAATTCCTCCAAGTATCTTAAGTGGCAGGGCCATCTATTTGAAGTGATATTGCATTCCTACCTATTTACTGACAGAAAAGTGAGTACCTATAGTCTATATTCATGCAGCCACCTGTGCAGATGACAGAGCAGTCAGTTCCAACAGGAGCAGCATGCCATGGCTGCCTTGTGAAGCCCTAGGGAGAGAAGTAGAGCCTTTCCAGCTTATAAGGAAAGACGCTAATTTAGGATGTCTTCAAACACATTGATTCTTGCATTGCCATCAAAATATCCATCCTGCCCACCTTCCTTATGCCTTTATTCTGAACCATTCATCTCTTCTCCTACCACCTTTCCCCACCAAAAAGATCTGCTTGGCCACAGAACAAGTGATCAGGTCCAGAACAGAAACAGTAATTGCACTTCCTAACTGAGGTGAGCTCATCTATCCAGTTCATTGTGTGGACATTGATACTCATTTTGCACACAAGAGGGAAGGCACCAGGGCAGAGCCTTCTTTTAGAAGTAATGCTGTCCTAAGCTCTGACCACTGCAGGATCACTGCAGTCAAATGACCTCCACAGCAGGATGTCTTTACAGAACTCAGGTCCTTGTTCATTTAAAAAGAGCATAGCTGTCCACAAAACAGAAGTTACAGTTTTCACACACACAGAAAAAAAAAAAAAAGAGTTAAAAATCAGGTATGTCTATCAAACTGTTGAGCAATAAACAGGTGAAATTCTGAGACTGGGGGAAGACAAATTACCATTAAAAAGCATCAGTAAAACAAGTGATTGCCTTGGTCTTGTGTAAGTATAATACTTAATACCTAACTAACCATGACAAATGTGTATTATAGCATTCTACACAAAACTTACACAATCTGCACCAGGCAATTGCTCTCCCATTCATTTCCTTATTTGTTAAGGAGGAAACAAAAAAAAAAAAGGTTGCTTTTAGAAGAAAAATTACTGTAGCCAGTTTTTACATGCACATCTTAAGTTCACAAATTTCACACAATGAAAATTCCTTATATTTAAAAAGAGTGTATGCATTTTAATGGCAAATAAATTTACATTTCTGTAGAGGAGAAAAAAACTCCAGATAAAGAAGCATAAAGCCATGAAATTTTCTAAGAGTATAGATGTAAGTATTTCTCCAGAATTACAGAATGGGTTCAGTAAGGGTATTTTTAAGAGCGTTTATAAATAATTGTAAGTAATTTCATGGATCTTATGTCTAAAATCAAACCCAGGAAAGTATGTTTATAATTCATAAGCACTAACAGTTTCACATGTGTATTCTAAGTGGCCTAAGGTCTGCCAGTATGCACATGTGTTTCTTGTAGATAAGAACAGTCCCCATGTTCAAAATGGGATAGTGAGTCACAGGACTTAAGGGAAAAAAAAAAAAGAAAAAAAAAAGAAAAAGCCCTAACGCCCAAATCTGACAGCAGTTAAGAGTTTGCTTTTGTTTCCATTGACTGTAAAGGCTTTAGAAAACATTAAGAAGAGGGTGGCACAGAAATGGGGTAAAAGAAATCCTACACTCAATGCTGTAAAAAGCGATTTTTGACTGTCAATACTTTGAGAGCAGTTTGGAAGGCAGACAAATGACACTGGATTACACTGCTGCTTTCCTGCAGATAAACAGTTTGTTCCCCTTCCGGGACTGTCTAACATCCCCCTAAGACCACTGCATACTGTGTTTACCTTTATCAATTTTTATTTTACATTTCATAGAAATATCTAAAAATTACTCAACAAACACTCCTTCAATGCCAAAATTATTGTAACAAATGAAAACAAAATGCTGCCAACATTTACAAAACAGAATGGATCTGAGGCTGCTCTGGGATCAGAGCAACTTTTAACACAACATTACTGTGATTTTAAATGGAATTTTCAAAGAAGTAACTTTTACAGGGTGCCATAAAGCTGAGGCCACAAAACCCCCCCCCCCAAAACCAACAGCCCCCTTCATCACCCCCTCCAACCCCCAAAAATAACCCAGCCAAAAACTCCTGAAAGTCTATCTTCATATTCAGAAATTTAAATAAGCCAACACAGGTAATGGAACACATCCCCAAACAACTATTCATATACTGATGGATTTGCAAGTCCTCTTCATTTCTGATTAGTAGAACATTAAAATATGTTTGAAGGAAAATGCATTTGGTTTGACAACTGCACAGGAAATTAGAGCTCCTGTCTTCTACCAATAGCTTTCTCCTCAGGTGACTCTTCTTGAAAAAGTGAAAATTCAATCCAAGATTAAAAACTGTGCTAAAAAGACACATTTTACAGCAAGAGAAAAAATGGCAAGGTTGAGAAAGGGCACACTGAGAGCAGCAGAGAATGCTCATTCAATTTTGTTTTCTTCTCTTCTTACCTTTGCAAGTCTTGCCCTTTTAATGAGATCATTGAGTTTCCTCACAGCAGCCTTCTGCGGGAGACTCTGGATATCCTTGAAAAGATCCTGTGCCTCGGCTTCAAAGAGCCGTCGGTTGTCTGTGTTTCGGAGGGGATGGGCCCAGAAGGAGCCAATGTAGACCCGCAGGACCTCTGGCGTGTCGATCACCTTTCCCAAGGACCACATGAGTGCACCATAGACCCTCATCAGCTGCTGTGTGTCCACCTGGTCAGCCTTATTGAGCACCACTCGGATCTTGTCATCCTGGCCCCGGAATGACTTAATGGCCTCTGAAAACTCATCAGATATATCCAGCTTATGGGCATCAAAAAGGAGGATGATTCGGTCAACCCTCTCAGCAAACCACTGGAGGACTTGGCAGAAGTCGTAGCCTGAAGGAAGAACACACAGTTACGGTCTTACCATTCAGAAAAGCGAGTCTTGGAGAACGTAGGGTTGGGGATAGAGAACAAGAGGGTAACAGCCTCTGCCTGGGGGCAAAAAGGAGATTTATACTCAAGAGGACAGTATCTGTGGACAGTGCAGTCAGGACAACCATATCCTGCATTTCCTTGGACCAGTCACACTATTACCACCTTCTGTTTTTATCACTGCCCTTTCTTCTGTCTCACACCCACATTTGCCTCTTTCCAGGAGTCTGGTTCCAGCACAGCATCCAAGCTAAATAGGGCTGGGGGGCTCTAATCACAATCTCTCTTCATACTGCCAGTATTGGTCACTTTGGTAGCACTGCTTATCTGAATTAGCAAGGAAAATGGTTAAAATGCAGCATTCCAGTGCAAGTCAGCAACCAGAGTATTTGGATTTTAAAACCATTTCCAAACTCATTTCTCCTTACCTTGCAACACTTGCTGTTATTTTTGCCACAGCAGACTACAAAGTACAATTTACAAGTAATGTGACTACATTGCTGATGGCTTTGAGGACATGACAGGTTACAGAACATGAGCAGTGACCTTCCTGATCACCTGAAACAAGCTTTATCACATTCTAAAGGAAAGCCTATTCATAGCACCTGTCTAAATGCTTTTACAGGTTCAGCTGGTACCTAATCCACACAACAAACAGTATTCAGGAACACCTTACTCAGAAGTGACACATCTAATCCGCAGAATCACCACTGGTGATGCAGCTTTGGGTTTGGCATGGATGTGACTCATCTAGTATGAGTAAGGAAGAGCTAAGTATGTACTGCAAGCTTTTTTCTTTTTAAAAAAACAATATCCATTTGCCCCTGAGCTCTTTCCCTGTACTCTTTGAAACTCTTGCCTTAGCTTCACACCATTCAGTCATGAACGAAACACTCCCACCCTTCCTAAAAGGGGTTCCACCCTACATCCTGCCAGACACTCATTTTTCCTTCCAAATCTTGCAGCCCACACAGACATTTCTGTCTGCAAGGGCGTGAACATCACCAGTGATGCTGCAGAAGCAGCACAGGGATGGGCATTGTCTGCCCTGGGGACAATGCTGGCAGACATCTGCACATTCTCCTCCAGCCACTTGCACTGCCCCTGAACTGCCAGGCAGGAAGCTTCTGGCACATCCTCCTGCCGACAACAGGAGCGGGAAAGATGTGTCTTGAGACATCTTTGAATGTTGCCCTCTGTGTATATTTTTGACCCTTCAAGAAATCAGCTTCATCTGTGGCCTGGATGCTTTCCAGAGTTAAAAATAGAGCATGCCGGGAAATAGCGCGTGTCCTCTAATTTTACATAGTCCCTTCACTGCTTTCCTGCATGTTAAAATGAAAGCTAATATTCGAGTCCTATTGGTTTCAGAAGGCTTCAACTCACTCCTAGTGAGACCTGTCAAATTTTAATATTATACAGATATTATATTCATTCGTAGGTAAATAGTTAAACAGTAGCTAGTGAGATGGGAAAAAAACACCAACAGCAAGGAGACAAGGTCTTACACTGAGGCCCTGTAAAGTTATTCTTCCATCAAACATTTTAAATAAGAAAAGCTGCAGCTTACCAATGTTAGACACAAGCTAAACTTCTAGAAAGCAGAACCCTCTCTGAAAGAGGCACATTCAGGGATAGCAGAAAACAGCTTGTACAATCCTGCTTACATTTACACACAATAATTTAGAAAGTCATCAAAGCAACTCAAACTTCAAAACGTGCTAAATTAGACTTATAGCATAAATACGTCTAAGTCAGACCAACTCCTTTAGGAAGGAGGTCAGACAAACTTGCTATGTGCAGCATCACAGGACAAGTCAAGTTTGTGCTCCATAAAACTACCTATATGCAAACTGCTTAAGCAGCCCAAAAGCCGTTTACAAGAAATGTATCTGACTATGCAGTATTTCAGCCAAGGCTGAGTGTAGTAATTTCTGATCATGACAGCATGGAGTATGTGCATGCAATAAATGCAGAGGCATTTGTAGATAACTTCTTGTATGGTGATGCCTAAGTGTATGAAACCTTTATTTAACCTGCCCTCAAAGCATGGGACTCTGAGAGAACAGTGCTCTAAAGCCAACTCCCAAAACTTCCTATTTGGTACAACCACACTTTAAACATTATTAAATCTAAAAACATACAGGAGAACCACAGTTTGATAAAGAACTATGACAAGGGACACATTCAAGACAATCTTTATCACATGTAAAAAAATTAATGAAATGCAACCTAATCAAGTTAAAGCCTGTGAAACAGCTAAGAGTTTGAGGTAGTCACTGAACTATGTCAAATTAGGCGCAAGTCTACCATATCAAAGTGCAGGCCAGCTAGGCTGCAACAATTGATAAGGCACATACCATCAAGACAAGGAGTTTCTGAAAAATAAGGGAACAAGAGCCATGTTTTGTTAAATCACAGGGGCAGTTCCAGATGGTAGTGAAGAGTCATGGTCCTTCAGGCAACACAGGACTACCAGTGAAACACAACCTGGAGTGAAACACAGTTCTGTACTGCACTTGGAAGTCTAAGACTTCTACAGCATTACCTAATGGTCTTGAATTTGGTTACATAATTGCTCACTTTTTCAGTTGCATATTAATATAATACTCTAGTTTTCTGCTTATTGCATGTTCCCTTCCATACTGTCATGGAAGCGGCAACAGATACTTGAATGCTGCCAAACATAATTTTCTCTTGATTTAATGAGCAAAGAAGGGGTAAGATGCACCTAGTTTTAACTTGAGGAGGAAAAAGGGAGCTGGAATCTGCAATGGAAAAGCAGACCACTGCTGATTTTATCAGTCTGTATAAACTTGGATCTAATTATTTTGTGGACATTTTATGAGATTTTTTTCTGGACTAAAAATCATTAGTTATACATTAAAGTTTTCCTGTCTGAAATAAGAGTGCCAACATGCAGTATTTGTTTTATTTCTGGTTTCACAACATTTCAAGTCTTTGCTTGCAGAGACGTAGAGCTCTCATGCTGTTGATCTCTATTATTTCACCAACATAATGGAAAGCCCAGCACTTTCCCCATGATGAATGCTTTACATGACTATGAGTAATAAAGAGGACAAATCATCACTGAACAAAAAATTCAGAAACATCTGGTAGACCAGTTTATTAGGTATGCATAATTTAGATTACAGTCCTAAGAAGTTAGTCCCTTATTCTGTCAGTTTATTATAAACACAAGGCTATTGTTGCACAGCTGCCATATATTGTGCTTGTACCAGGATTTCCTCAAAAAATTCCAGGTGTGATACAGTAAAGAATTGTTTATTTCCTCTGACAGAGACATGGAACACAAGTTTCCATTTCTTAAGCAACGGCCTGAAAACAGAAGGCAGCATAAGCCACACCCTGCATCACTACCATTTACAAATCCACAGAAAAGCAACAAGCACTAAATGCAGCTGAAGAATGCAAGGAAGAAAGTTGTTTACATTACACTGTTCTGTTTAAATACTTTCTCAAGACAGGCTAATGTTTAAAACAGCTTGATAAACAGTGCTCAGTTCTCTGCAGAATTTTCATATCATTAAAAATATTCTCATTTGCTCTTTCTCTTTCTACAGTTTGACTTTTTCCTTTGACTGTATTATATTATGGCATGACTGAGCAACCTTAAGAAGCAGCTCTAGCAGCTGTGTCCACAAAAACCCACCTTATTTATAGCCCCACCCCCAAATTTTTCAGACATGACCAGCCTACAGCTATCATGAAACACTTCTTCATTCATGAACTTCAATAGTATATATAAGAGCCATTATTACTTCATGGGAAGCAATTAAAATTATCAAAATAAGGCTTTTACTTGGGAGTGACAAAGCACTAATTAGTCAACAGACCATGCAACTGTAGCCATTTGCAGCCATAGCAGCAGGATGACAGAAATACCAACCCCCACCAGCTTTCAAGAGAAAAAATTCCAAAGCCGACATCCAGCCTTAAAATATGGGTTGTACAGGGCTTGCAGTACAAAAGTATGGGAGAGGCCACCACACAGTACCACTAAAACAGGCTCCCCAGAGATCAGGATGCTGATTTATCCAGTAGAGCACAAAAAGTTTAGTGAGCTCGGTGCTCTGCAACTCACCTCTGCTGATGCGCTGCTTCTCTCCAGAGAGAATGCCAGGGCTGTCAATGATACTGATGCTCTTCAGGACCTCGTTGGGTAGCTGAGAACACATGAACCTGCAGGAAAGGAGGGAAGAAAACCCATCAACAATAGCTCTAGCTAACATACAGACTGTCCTTGCGAGCTCCCATTATATGTCTGAATTTAGAAAGACTCAAGTGAGACTCAAAATAGTTTCTGAATCCTGGCAACCCTCTATGTTTCTCAGCCATACATGTTTAAGAAAAATTATGAAGAGAGCTTCTCAAAAACCCCACAGGGAAACCTTGTAAAACTGTACATCTAAGCGCTGGTAAGACTTCAAATTTTGCAAGAGTTGACAACTTGGGCTGTAAATGCAACACTGAAAAGACTCCATCAAACCCATTTTGCTAGGACCAAAATTAGTACACGCAAGAGAAAATTCTTTGCCTGCTCCAGCTTATTCCCAGACTCAGAGATTGAAAAGGGAAGGAATCAGAAAGCCATACTGACAATGTGTTTATGTTTCAGTCCCTGCCACATCTCCCTCTCACCTGATTTAGCAGTGTTGAAGTGATCCCTACTCCCTAACCCACCACTCTACTCAGCTGGGGCACCAATGAAAAACACCAGTATTTCTCCCACAAACCCAGCCAGAACTATCACACTGCCAGAAGCAGGAGTTCAAATTACACACAGTATGCTCCAAACAATGACCTCCTGCCTCTGCAACAGGAGGCAAATTCAATGGTGGTATTACAGAAGAATAAATAATTGACGAGGACTGAGAGCCGTGCAGAACACTCGGTGTGTGACCTGCGAGCTACAGTGATGCTTCTCTGACAGTTAATGACTGAAGAACTTCACTGCCCTTCATCATAACCTGCCTTTAAGAGATTTGCGTAAGTGTTTAATCTTCTTATCAAGGAGCAGCTGAAGATGCTAACCCACCCTCCTCCTGCGAGGCTGCCCCTCACAGGGTTAAGCTGCAGCCTCAGGCTCCAAGATGGGGCTGCCCTACACCAACCTATGGCTTCACAAAGCACACTGCCTCAAAAAACAGGGTACCACAGACAGGAAATTGTAGCTGTGCTGAGGTCAAACAAGACCTTTAAGGCCTTGGATGATCTGAGTTAGGAAGAGTTCAACCAGTCAGGTATCAGATACAAAATGTAAACTGTATCAAAGTCTAGACAGTATTTTATACAATAAAATTATTCAAAGGAAATTGAGAAGAAAAGTCCTAACACCTCACTTCACCTTGTTCTGCAAGAGACCTTGTAGCAATGAACCTCTAAGAAAAGCACACAGTGTGCCTTCTTGGATAAAACAGAAATGGCAGCATCCCCTGTGCCTCTCCCTGAAACCCAAAAGGGCAGAAGGAAACAGCAACCATCTGAGCCTGATAGAACCTGAGGCTATGTAAACACAATGTAAAATGTATTGTTTGTTTTAGTGGGACACCAGGTAAAAGAAGTACCTCACATCTGAAGCAAACTCTTCCACTAGAAAGTCTTCTACTAGCTTAAGAAACATTTTCGAAAGAGTAGTGAGGTACTATTTGAGAAAATTACATTATGTGAACTTGCCAAAACCTAAAGGCAGTGCTATGTCAAAGCAAACACCTTATGTGGAAGCATAGTGGATGTGCATAAGTGACAAAGAAAACACATTTAATCATGTGAACTATTACAAAAATACATACATCACTAGTATGTACAGCATGAAGTAGCTTTCATGTATATTTGAAGACTGAATTTTCATGTATATTTTTTCTTATCATTCTCATCCAACCTTAGAAAGCCCAGTGCTTGTTCAGTATCACCAAGATGTTTCTAGGCCTATCTTATGGGAAGAAAGGCACTGTTATGCCAGCTGAACAATACAGCCGTGTCTTGGCTCACGCACCACCCGAACTGGGACAGCTGGAAAAGACCACGAGATAAAATAGAGAATTACAGGCCTCAGAAATGCAGACACTGCCATCTTTCTGCCAGCAGTCACTGGTGGCAATGGGAGGAGATAAATAAACACATAGGAAATAGAAACATCAACTCAGAATTAACTGCTTGTTAGCTTTTAGAATATGTCCATAAGATAAAGATGAAAGCTGGGTTAAAAATCTTCCCTCAAACTAATATTTTAGACAACTGTAATGATAGTGGTATTTGAATATCTCTTTTCAACACTGAGACTTATTTCTTAACATATCACTTCATGCAGGTCATGTGAGTGCTGCATCACAAAAAACAGAACTACACACTATCCACCTGAATGAGAGATTAAAAAAAAAAAAGTGTTACAAAAACAGTTGCATGGATGAAATGACTGTAATTTCTTATGACACATCAAAATAGACCAGGACCATGCATTTCTTCTCAGTAGCACTAATTTATTTACATGATTTTCTGCATGTAAATTACTGTATAATGCAGTATTCTTCCCTCACCAGCATCCAAGGGCACACTAGGTCCTGTCCCCCTTCAGTTTCCTCCCCAACTTTTCTTAAAAGTATACAGGATATGTAAGAGTTTAATAGGAGAACACCTCCCACAAGCAGTGAGATATAGCAGGGCAATTAGAAGGGGTCATGGAGAAAGACAAAAGCAAGGTAACATCAATAAATTAATGCAGCTAATTACTAAGTACAAGCCTTGATTGTGATACCGTGTTCTTGCCTGCTTCATTTTTTCCATTACCTCAGTCCCTGTTTCCTGTCATTTGGATTGTTAGACTTGGATGAAAAGGATACTCAACTTCATAGTCTAAGTGTTCATAGCCTTAAGTTCCTCCAAAAACCAAAACACTAGGATTGGGAAACCATTAAAAAAATTAAATGGGGGGGTGGGGTGGGGGAAATAGAGAGAAGTCTATTAAGGCAGGCGTGAAAAATTCAGTATCAGATAAAAAGAACTGTCAGCATGGCAAATGAGAGAAGGCAAAGTAAAATATGTACTTTTGATTATAGGTAACCTGGTAGGAACTCAAAAAAACTGAAGCCTAAGACAATTTCATCTAAGTGAAGTCATAAAGAGAAAGGAGCTGGTAAGTTTTGAAAAATGCTAGGGAAAGATAAGCACACAGATCTCTGCTGAATAACTAACGAGTAAGTGTGACTGTTGGGGAAGATAAGGGTGCTCACAGCACCTCAATACAACAATATCACAGTCACCAAAAGAACTGGAGTAATTTGGTCAGTTACTTGAAAGTACATCTTTTTAGCTAGCCAATAGTTTTGCTTGCATAACAGTCAGGACCTGACACAACTAGTTAGATGATTTAGGCAAAAAATTGCATTGCCACTCATCCAAACAAACACATTACATTATTAAATGTTCCATGCAAATATTTAAATATTATGCAAAATATTTAAATATTTAAATTTGCATAATATTTAAATATTTGCATATTACATTAAATTTTCAAAGGAAATATTTAAATATTATGCAAAATACAATTTATATAATTTTTTCATAAGTATATTAATTTTTTGTAGAGAGAGCACAATGGTGAGGAAAGGGAGAAACAGAATACTTTGATCTGGAAGACAGAATTTAGGCAATCATCTCAAAGTTGTTATTTAAAATGGGACTCGGCTACAGTTTCCCACAGCACATATTCTTATCTCTGCAAAGCGACAGCCAAGCCAACTGTAAGCAGCTATAAACTTTCTTCTTTGAAAAAGCACAGCAATAGATAAAATTGTACATGATGAACTTTTAACACGCATGCTAATATTTATCAGCCAAACAGGAAAGTTTATTGTTAAAAAGAACCAATTTAGATTAATTGGCTTGCAAAGTGAGGCCTCCATGTCAAGCTACCATCAAATACAGGAAGAAAACAAGGTGATTGCTCAGACAATAAGAATGGAGTTATTAGTAACTAGCTTTCAACTGAAAATATTCAGCATGCTACTTTACTATCAAAATGTTCACAGCCCCTGAACAACTCTTCCCTTTTTATAAATACACAGCAGAAGCTAACACTATGTCCCTGGTCTTTGGAACTACCTGAACACCCAGGTGGTTAATATTAAACATTTAACAGCTTGAGCTTTTATTATCACATGGGGCACATTTGAATCTTTTCCTTCTTTTATCTCTTCTTACATATCCCAGCAATTCACAATTTTAAATAGCTATACCAAGATATCCAGTGAAATCAGTGGAAAGGAACAAGACAGCACCAAAGGGAAAAATACTCGTGATGTTTTTTTCGGTTTTTTTTTTTTGAATGGTACGTTAGTACTGTTTTTTAAAACTATCAGCTTTATTGAGTAGAATTTTTGCATAAACTTATCCCAAGTTCCACCTGGTGTCACGGCTCACAAACAAGTCACCCAGTGGATCATTTCTACGGTTTTCTGTGAACTGGTTTTAACAACTGTTTTCTATTCAGAAAAATGAACATCTCTATCATAATGCCACCCTACCTAGTACTGCCTTTTTTTCATTTAATTCACCTGAACTGCCATCATTCCTGCTTGCATTTCAGTATTTATTCCATGCTGTTCAAAACAGAACATGACAAAATTTAAATGTAATCATCAGAAAACAGAAAGCAAGATCATCTCACCTGTTCAGGAAAGCATTTCCAAAGCGGCCGAGTTTCCGGAATGGCTTCTTAGGATCAACAACCAGGGCATTTCCAGGAACATTTCCTTCTGTTTCTCCATACATTACAGCAATAAAGGAATCCGTGGTAGGCTCTGGACCAATCCTCATGCCTGGAAAGTCTTGCTCAAGCAGGTACCTGGAGGTAGAGAACACATAAATGTATTTATACACAATTGCTGTATTTACACTTAAATATTCCAAAAAGAATATTTGGGATCCATGGCAGAAGCAAATACCTACAATTTGCTTGAAATTTCCCAAGAATATGCATATTCTAGAAGATTAAGATTACATTTTTCCTTTATTTCATTATTTCTGTTCATTGGGGAAGGAGGAAGAGAACTGAATTAGTTTTTCACAACATCTAGGTAAAAGGAAAAAGTAAATCCCTTTACAAATAGTGTGGAAAGCACTCCCTCAACCATTTAAGTGGACGCTTCTACCAAAGACCCGAGTGCTGTAGGTCACACTACAACACACGGCTGCTTTTCTGAGTGTTTTCAAGCCTATACCAGTGCTGCTGGTACAAAAAGGGAATAGTTTGAAGCTGCATGTCAGATCCAAACCTTTAATCAACTTGGTATGATCTCACTAACTCATCCTATCAGAGGCAAAAAGAACCATTATGAGATAATAAAATTTTATCTCTTTGGGAGTGAGGAATTTTTTTTTTCTTTTGACCTGCACATCAAAAATTAATTGTTAACGAAATCAGATCTACAGAAATTTAGGCCCAACACTAAAGTACTTTCAAAAGGCACCAAGTCAGGCAGTGCTCTACCGCCAGAAACCATTTTGCACCTCCCCGTGAGCAGTCCACTGTCAGAAGATACGGCACATACCCAGAGGGCCTTGACTTTCCAGACAACGAGGTCTGAAATTAATTTAGTGTGTATTTAAGTATTAAAACTTAATGGAACAGGGCATTTATTTACATAAAAAGCCTGCCTGCATCCCTTCATGGATGGCAAGTGCGAAGTAAAAGCAGCCCCAAGTCCTTGGAGCAAACCTCCCTCCAGCACACATTCTGTGACAATGCCATCCTTCACAGAGACACAGACAACACTGCTTAGCTTTAAAGCAAGAGTGTTATTGTCCTCAGTCACAACAGCACCATCTTGGCGCCCAAGACTAAAACAAAATGTTTTCAATGTCACCCTGCAGTTCTTATAAAAAAAACCCCTAAACACCACAATTTTAATCAAGTCTATTTTAACTATTTACATAATCAAAATTGGATTTACATGAGAATTTTTCTGCAGGCACAGGTGGTGGTCCTACATGCAGTGACAGCACTAGTTACATTTTAGTGCATCTATATTAATACTGCTCTTTTAATAAGGACTTAATCCAACAGTACTGTGCCTATTCTGCCATGGCTTCCTAAATCAATACTGATTTGAGAGAACTTGCTGTCTGCTTTTGCTGCAAAAAACATTTTATGTAGTATCTATACTTGCTGAACAATCTTGTTTTCAAATAAAGTACCCAAGTATTAACAAACTTTATAGATCAGTGCACAGAAGCTGAATTTAAGGAACTAAATATATGTTACATATTTCAAAGACTGTTTTCCACTAGTCTTAGCAAATTGGCTCCAATTAGCTCAACCTATGATCAGAGAGCATGGAACAGTTATTTACATTAGATTTTCTGTAACTTTCTGCTTCCAAAAAAAGAAATTAAAAAAACACCAATACTAAAACTTTTAAGGAAGGAGGAACGTAAGAACAACCATGCCAGAACACACCAAAGTCAATCTGTTTTATCTCTAGAATAAGCTGTACCTAATGCACAGTAACAGGGAAATAAAACTGACCCATCTCCAAAAGCAAATAAAACAACACTCAAACCTCACGGCCCACACAGGTTTGTAAAATGCAGCAGATCCCTCACTGTACGAATTAAATCATGAAATGACCTAAATGAAGTGAAGACAAAACTCCTTTAACTGCTCACCAGTTGAAGCCCTCATGGAAATCCAGGATTTTCAAATGTTGTGGCAAACAGCTAAACACCTGAAACACGAAAAGCGTGTTCCCAGCTCTTCACAAAACATCACTGCACACCAGAGTTCTCTAAAACAGAATGCCAAGACTAACTCACAAGAGCCACTAAAAATTTCCAACTTGGACTTATCCATGGCTTTGATTTGAAATATCAATTATACTTTTGCCTTCTAAAATAAAGTTTTTAACTTGCCACGATAAAATGTTCTAGTTCAAACACTGCTTTTCCTCATTGTCCTTCTTTAAAACACAAAGGGTCTCTAAGAGACTTGTAAATAAGCTCTTCTATAGATACAAATTGTCATTCCCAGGCTTCTGCTGACACAGGTACCAACTCATAAGGTGACAGACAACATATACAAGAAGAGGCTCCAAGAGCAGCAGTAAATTAAATATAATGAATCACATGCACAGGAATGAAGTCCCACATCTCAGGTCAAGGAAAACTACATGGTGGAATCTAAGTGCAGCAGAAGACACCTCAGGGTAACAGGATAATTGCCATCTATAATAAGCTCAAAAATTATGGCATGATTATGGAAATTCAGTGGTGACAGTCTTTTAGATGCCTAAAAAAGTAATTTCATGGCCCGATCATGAATTTGTAGCACGTCTAAAGAGTTACAAGTAGGGAGTACCCTTCATGATTTCAAACATCTCCTTCAGCTGCTCTGAACTTGATAGTGCAAATTCCGCTTAGCAGCTTATTGAAATTACTAAACCAGAATAACATGCTACTGAACTGCAATGATACTCCCAAGTTAATGTCATAAAGGCAGCTTTAAAAACCAGGCTTTTATAGCGATAACAATCCAGGAAGGCAAGACCTCCTTCCAAATACCAAGCCCCACCCAACAGTCACAATGCTCTGCCTGGTACAACTATTAACAGACACAGAAATCACTTTGCAGCACAGGTATTTTCCATTAAGATTGGCTCACAACTGCACATCAAGAATTAGTACAGACTAAAATAAACCTCTTCTTGAGCACTGGCTGTGCTCAAGTGTGATAGGTTTGGCTGGGACAATAACTACTATGTGGCTGTGTTTTGGATATGTGCTGAAAAGTGTTGAAATACAGGGATGTCTTCATTACTGCTGAGCAGCACTCACACTCAAGGCCTTAAGAATCATGGCCTTTTCTGCTTCTCACCCCACCCATGAACAAAGAGTTAAGAGGGGACACAGCTGGGACAGCTGATCCCAACTGACCCAAGGGATGTCCTGTACCATATGGCATCATGCTTAGCATATAAAGCTAGGGGAAGAAGGAAGGAGGAGACACTTGGAATGACAGCATTTTCTCTTCCCAAGTCACTGTTATGTATGATAGAGCCCTGCTTTCCTGGGAATACCTGAACATCTGCCTGTTCATGGAAAACAGTAAATGAATTCATTGCTTTACCTTGCCTGTGATGCTTTTACCAGTTGTACCTACTAAACTGTCTTTATCTGAAGCTATGAGTTTTATCAGTCTGACCATTCTGATTTTCCCCCCGTGCACTGTGCAGGGTGTGAGTGCTGTGTGCTGCTTGGTTGCAGGCTGGAGCTGTGGGGTGGGCTAAGCCCCAACACACTGCATCACACTTCTCAGCGTGAAAGAGCAGTTTTACTCACCCACACAAAAGGTAAGAGCGGACTCCTGTAAATTGAAAAGCTACCAATGTTTCTGTACCAAATGCTTCATTAGCACAGGAAAATACCTGGATTTTCAGCTTCTGGAACTACATGCTCTTCTCAGGAATTTTCAGCAGAGAAGTTCAAAAAGGTTCACAGGAAGAATGCTTAAAAATAGCCAATGCCCCAAAGACAGTCTAGATCAAACAACAGACATCCTGTTGATTCTTCTCTCTTTGTTTTTACCTGGACTATAACCTTTCAGCTTTGCCAATAAACATTCATCTAGGTTCCTCTGCAAGATGTATAGCCAGACTACAGGGAACTAGTTTACAAAGTTCCCAGAGACAGAAAAGATTACTCACAGTTGCAGATACCCATTATCATCTGAAGTATAAATGCATCAGCTAGGCCACACTAATGCACAAAAGTGAGTGAGCTGGACAGAGCAGCACTGAACAGGGATACCCTGTGATGCACTGGGAGATGAACTCATGGCACCTTTACAGGGTTGCTCACCTCTACACTACATACTGCATCAAGTATTCAGGGTTTTTTTTAACACAGCAAAACTAGCAGATGTTTGCTTTAGTGTAAGAATTCTGCTCTAAATAATCCAAAGATTTCATGTAGAGCTAGTGAAGAAGTTACAGCCTTCACCCAAAGAAATTAAGAGGGACCTTCCTCCCACTTCACTCCCAAAGAAATAGATGCAGCTGCACAAGTGATTGCACACTACTTGCAGAGTCCAGACATTATGCATACAAAAGGGTGCTTTCACAAAAGTCAGCTCTGGCTGAGTTAAACAGCAGGAAGTTTACAATTTTTAACCTCTGAGTAATACCTGTGAGCAAAGTAAAAGCACAGTCTGCCAATCTGAAGAATTTACATCTGGTTTGTCTCATGCTGATAAATTCATCAAAAAAAAATCAGTCTCCTACACTTCTAAAACAGAAGGAAAGAAACTACCTATTGGCACTGACTACCTTCTATCTCTTTTTCAAACAGTACAATTCTCCTCTCCTGTCCTCACTTCCCCACTTTTTTTTCCTAAAACAGGCACAAGAAATTGAGACAATTACAGAAACGGCAAGGCCAAGAAGCTCACATGTAAGATAACAACAATTGGCTCTCACCACACTCCCACTGCATTAAACACAAGTGGACAAGCATTAACATTTGGATGTATTTGTTTGAATTGTCAGCATTGTCAAATAAGTCAAATAAAACTATCACCACACTACACCTTAGACAGTAAAACTGACTGGTGTCACTGCATTGTTCCAAGTGCCAAAGCGGATAAACAGCACTGAGTAAAAAAACACAAGAGCTGTTAGAAACCTGGAAGTGTTTGTTTCCATATCTTAATCCCCAGGGACATTCAGTCACTGGTACATCAGTGTTTTCCATACTTAGTGGAAGGAACTGGGTGGATATGGATGTGTCAGAGGTATGAAAATGTGAAGTTCTCATGATAACGTCTCAATCAAAGTAAATGCCAAATTAATATCTGACAGCTAAACAGAATTGTTATGTTCACACATAAAGCCAAGAGTAAACACTTAAGTAGAGCTAATATGCCCTCCTGACTGTGAAGTCAAGAAATGTGAACAAAAAGCAGTTTTTAGTTATTTATTTAAAATTTAAAATAATGATTGCTTACTAAAAGGTTTGGAGGAATAAATCCCCTATAGTGTTACTTCATCCTAAGAAAAATCATCTAGAACAAATACAGGATTATAACAGCCTTGAGAGGGTATGACATTTTTCCATGGGAGATTCTGCCTACCAGAGGCTGAATTTACTTCTGGCTGACCTGGACACTATAATATTTTCCCATGTCTTCTTCTAAGTCTTGCACACAGCATACAAGAACTTCTCTTTTCTTGCCCTTCTTTTTCTCCTCTAAATTGGATTTTGAGTAATACTCACTGTGACACTATTGTCTAAGTTGCTGTCCACATTCAGTGGAGCATTTTTTCATGCTGATTCAGCCAACTATTATCTATGCTATAGAAAACACTGAGGTAATGAATGTTGATCCTAGTGAGAGCCTTTAGAAGCAATAAAAGATAATTCTGCTACAGATTTGGGCTCTGCAGTCAATGCCTGTCTTCTCCAATACTTTGTACAAGATTAAACTGCTCTACAAGCGCCCTAAAATGGGCACAGCAGAAAGGGGTAAGAGGATAAAAAGAAGGGCATATCACAGTAGAAGCCACCTCTTGCATCAAGCCAGGTATTTTAACAAAACACATGAGAAACCGTCTTTGAAAACTTCATCTCTGTCAAAATTGTCTAGGCATCTTCATCTGGCACTGACAAATGCTAAAAAAAGCTGGCAAGAGCTGCAACGAAGTATAGGTCCTTTCTCATTCAGACTGTACATTAGTATCAATCAAACCTTTGCTCAGCATTTTATTGTTAAAGTGAAAAGTTACTCACAAAGCAACAGTAACAAAAATACACCTAAGGTACTGCAAGGAATACCAAAGTTTCTAAGCACAATACTGACTTCTACTTCAGTCAAAAATGGGCAGCTATAAAGGACAGAAAAGCTGAATGTTCATAAATCAAGAACCTGTGTTGTCAACCAAGGCAAACTCTTACACGAGGGGAGACCCAGAGTTTCCTATGAATTGCAAATAACAGAACAATGCTGCTGACAGGCAGTACAAGTTCTGCTATTCACATTATTTCTGACCATTCTGCCTCCCTCTGTATTACCTGTGCTCTCCCCAGACAACCTGGCCCATAAGCCGAGTAACAACACTTATCTGGAAATATATACAGACTAACAGGGCAACTCTAATTTTAAAGAAGAAAATGAATGAATATGCCTAGAGAAACGTTGGGAAAACCCAGATGAACAACGCCTCCCTCCACTCACCACCTTGTTACTGTCTGTAGAGATCCTGAAACTAAATTTCTTTTCTTTTAATTTCAGCCCTATTTCTATTTTTAAAATATTCCTCTGAGCAACAGAGAAATTATGTGTTTGTGGAAGTTCAGTAATAATCAGTAAAGAAACCATGTTTGACTTCAAGCTTTCAATTAGCTAGTTGTAAAACCTGAAAAGACACATGATTAGTTCTGTAAACATCTGAAAAGCTCTCAGGTGATTAAAGGTAAACATCGATCTTGAGGGGAGAGGAGAGGTAGGTATTTTGCCCTGCAAAAAGAAAACAGTGTTATGGAAAGGCTGCCTGTAATCTTTGGAACTGAAAGATAAATATTTGCAAATTTTACAGATGGACTGTAATAAACTTCAGATACAAGAAGACCAAAATGTGAACCAAGTGACCCCTCAGGTGTCTCCTGCAGAGTTGGGCAAAACATTAGACTGATTTGTAAGGGGCATGTGAGAAGGACAAACCTATGCAAAATACCTACAGATTCACAGCACTGTGCTTACCTGAGATATGCTTCAGCTTCCTAAAAATGAGTTACTAAGAAACTTAGAAATAAGGAATACGGGAAAGACAGAAAATACTACAACAGGAACAACACTGTTCAGCTGCCGTAGTAGTGACACTGCTTCCTCAATGTAATTGATCAAAATAAAGGCACATGGAAGGGAAGACTTTCCAGACACCACGTGTTTTTTGCCCAAAACTCTTGCCACCTTATTCCTCTATGATCACATCCGATCTGTGCGTTAAGCTACTTTTGGGAAAGAAAGGGGAGGAGATAAGGTGAAGGGATCCCCGGCGGCCGGTGCAGCCGTACCGTGTTAACACGAAGCCCCTGCTTTCCCTTTGGAATAACGTAGGGAATAAAAGAACTAAGAGGAAGCAGACAAAGGGGTCACACTTTCTCAGCAGAACATGAAACAGACATCACATTCTTGAGCAGGAAGCAAGCGGCGAGCTACAGAGCGTGTACCAGGGCGGGGAGCGGCACCACCCTGGGCTCGGCTCGGAGGCTCCGGGCAAGCCCCGCTCGCTGGCAGGGAGGAGGCGCCAGCCCCGCCGCCTGTCCCGGGCACGGCGCTGCCCGGCCTCGGCCCGCACCCGCGGGCCGCTCCGCCGGGGCGTGGGAGGGATTTACCGCGGGCGGCACCACCCCGGGCAGAGGCGAGCCAGGAGGACCGAGCGCCGGCCGGGCCCGCGGGAGAGGGGCCGCGCACGCCGGGGGTCACCTACCGGATGAAGGTGGTCTTGCCGGTGCTGTACTGCCCCACCAGCAGCACCATGGGCTTGTTCTCGAAGTCGGCCTCCTCCAGGGCGGGCGAGTGGAACTCATGGAAGCGGTAGTGCTCCTCCAGCGGCAGCAGCTTGCGGAGGTAGAGGTCCCGCAGCCCGCCGGTCACCGTCTGCACCACGTCGGCGCCGCCGCCGCGCTCCCGCCCGCCGCCCTGCTTCCCCAGCCAGCTGAACATCCCGCCGCTGCCGTCCCGCCGCACTGCTTCCCCAGCCAGCTGACCGTGCCGCCGCACTGCCACTGCCACCGCCACGCCACCGCCGTGCCGCGCCTCCCGCGCACGCAGCCCCGCCCGGCCCGGCCGGGGGCGGTGCCCGCAGCGCCGCGCTCCGCTCGGCGGGGCCCGTCTCCCTGCAGTACACACCCTCGGAGCCGGGTGGGTTTGGGCCTTTCTGACGGGAAAGTTCGTCTGGTGTTTTCTTCGAATCCGACGATTTTATTTTTTTTTTTTTTCCTTTCTTTTTGGCCACAAGTCCGCCTCTGGAGGTTTAGTTGTGCCTGCTGCTCTTCTGCGCTAAAATCTCAGCCCCTTGCGATGAAACTGCTCCCCCAGCCAGCTGACCGTGCCGCCGCACTGCCACTGCCACCGCCACGCCACCGCCGTGCCGCGCCTCCCGCGCACGCAGCCCCGCCCGGCCCGGCCGGGGGCGGTGCCCGCAGCGCCGCGCTCCGCTCGGCGGGGCCCGTCTCCCTGCAGTACACACCCTCGGAGCCGGGTGGGTTTGGGCCTTTCTGACGGGAAAGTTCGTCTGGTGTTTTCTTCGAATCCGACGATTTTATTTTATTTTTTTTTTCCTTTCTTTTTGGCCACAAGTCCGCCTGTGGAGGTTTAGTTGTGCCTGCTGCTCTTCTGCGCTAAAATCTCAGCCCCTTGCGATGAAATCCGGAAACACTTTGACAGCTCGGATCTGAACGTAGAATCGCCCAAATGCTTTTCGTGTTTTTCTGATGATGGTTGCTGTCTTTGGATGCAAAAGAAATGTGTGTGACTAAGCGCCGTGGTGTTTAGCTACGACATCAGGCAACTGTTTTAAACACAGTGAAAAATCTTAGCATAACATGGAAATCTTTCTGTGAGACGTGTGTGGAAGATACGGCCATTAAATCTAACCTTAAGTCCTGCACTGTGTTAAGCCACCTTGCCCATTGATTGTACAGGAGATTTTACTGGAGTGTAACACCAAATTCACTACAACCTTAAATCAATAAAAAAGTATTTTTTGTTCTCTGACATTAAAGTTTCTGCTCACTAACTAAAAAAAACCTTGGGAACTCAGTTAAAAGAAAAGGAGTGGAATTTTTTGCTGAGATTTTGTTTAAACACTATATTACAAATGTGCCTTTTGTGTGACACACTATGGCTCCTTCGGAGCATCCATATCATTTAAATCCCCTTTTGCTGGTCCAGCACATCTACTGTTTCACATTTTTATCTATGTACCTTTCTTCTTTCTCATTTCCATACTGAATGCTGCATTTTCTCGATATGCTCCGGGTCTTTTCTAAATACATCAGCAGGTTTAGCTTTGCTCTTTTCATCTCCTTCCTCTCTATGCTGTTCCTCAAAGAACAGATGTTAGACTTTAGCAATGCTCAGTTCTGGGCATTTAACCACTTTGCCTTTTCTTGGTTCCTTGCTTTGCATTTTATTTAGGGCTGTGCATTTTGCAACTCTCTTGTTGCAATTTCCATGCTGAGTCCAAAGATTTTATACCATTTCACACAGGGTCTTGCTGACTGGTTTCCTCAGTTTTTAAAATCTCCTTTTCGTAGTTTGGTTTTGCATTCCTTTAATTGTCATTCATTTTCTCTATGGCTCAATTCATATGTAATTAAGTTATCCTTACACCTTCTCTATTTTACTTCAGTAATTTATTTAAATTAGCCTTGTATCACCACATCTTTAGAGGTCTGACTGCTCCTAATTATTAATTATCTGCAAAAGTCCCTGAGCTGTGGAAAAGCTAAGTACTGCAGTGTGGAGTGAGGTTCCTTTCCCCCTTGTCTGTGGTGCTAAATCCAGTATTTAGTGACTGGAGAAGTTCACATAGCTCACATACCTCCCAGGGCAGGTAGGATACTGCCTCAGACTCTCCTCCAAGTCTCTGAGAATTCATGATTCAGTGCAGGACTGAGGTAGATGCAGAGACATTGTATTTTTTCAGTCCCTAAAAATTTTCCAGTGAATGCCGTAACCAGTTTTTTGAATTAATAAAATTTTATCAACAAGAAAACTTAACTACATGTGTGAAGAACTACCTCACTTTGTTTAAACATGCTGTTTGCTAGTTTCGTCTGATCCTCTCTAGGTCTTGTGATAGAAGAGATGTGCACAGACTTCATGCACCTCTCTCTTCTCTGCCTTTCACTCCTCCTGTTCTTTTTCTAGGTTGCAGATTCCTCAGCTATTCGTACCTTGTGTGGAAGCAGTTCCACCTCCTTGATCAGGTCTGACATTTTCCTCTGTATTGTTGTTGAACATAGAAAACTGAGATACTGAGTAATTATTCCATGCAAGATTTTTGAAATGGGGTAAAGTGCTCATTGTTCTCCATGACCCTTTCGTGTCTGCTGGAAGGCAGCAGGAAGGGCAGGGAAGTGTTTGCACTCACACACCTCGTTCTGCTTGTCCTCAGACTTCCTGCCTAGATGCTTCCTGCTGTCGGTGAAATAATTTTTGCCCTTCAGACAATAAAGCTCTAACTGTAAATGGGAACCTGGGAGTGCTTCCAAATTCCCAGGTCTGGCTGTGCCCTCTGACTACATCCCGTCCCATACGATGATGAGATCCAGCATTCCTCAGCATGACTGCTGATGCAGTCTTGTTTGCTCTCTCTTGTTTCCATGGGAGATAAACTCTGGGCATACAGTGCAGGAGCTCTCTGATCTCCTGTAGCATGTGGGTAAGTGTTCACTGACCTGAATGGCAAACAGAGGGGTTACATCTCTTGTGCACCACCTAAGAGAAGACCCTTGACCTTGAGAGGAAAGGAATTTGTCAGACTTCCACTTCTGGCCCACAGTAACAGGATTTCTTGACAAAGAATACTACAGCAGAATTCAGGAGTGGAGAAGCCTGTAGGAAACATGGACTTATGGATATAAGATCTAATAAATAAAATGATAGCATTGAATTTAAAAAATTAGAAGAAGAATAAGTGTGGATTTTTACAAATTCCATCTGTCAAAAACCCAGACTGCTTACTGGAAAGGAGGCGTTACTGTCACAACCAAAGCATCAGAAAGCTGAAAGTTGATGCTCTGTTAACTTCATTTGCTATACTCTACAGCAAGTTCAAAAAATCTCATTTGCATGCATGATATTAGGTACACAATTTCAGTTTTGCTTTGTCTGTGTTTCTTGTGTTTTCAATGCTTCTCTAACATTTTAATATTATCAATATTAAAGAATGTTTGGTATTATCAATAGCATTTAAATCCAGCTTGCTAAAACAAATTAACATGAGTTGGTTCTTGTATAGATGGGTCCCAGATCTTGCACTAGCTTCCATCTAGGTCTGGAGCAGGTACACCTTCTTCTTCAATAATTCTTCAGCAGCTATGAAATGTCTGCATGTTTTCTTTGTCTTGCTATTAGAGGAAAAAGCACCTAAAATAAGTGGCTGAAACATGTATTTGATAGGAAAACTATTTATTTGCTGTAACTCCTACTCAGAAGTAGTGGTTTATTATAGAAATTTAATATTTATTTACATTCACATAAAGATTTCTTAGTTCACAAATGATTTCCTTGGTTTTTTTAGAGACAATGGATTTTGTTCTCTGCTGCATGTCTGGACCGGCAATCCTCTGTTTCTATAGCACAGGTAGAACACAAACAGTCAGTGTAAACTTCCTCACATTTCCTTGTCCACGCAGTTTGGCCCTGGTCTGGGAGGTCACTTTGGCAAGTGCAGTGGAGCAGAGCCTCACCTAGCCACGCTCCTGAGCTTGTCAACGAGGGAAGCACATGAGTTCATTAAGGAAGAGCTGCTTTTTTGAGTTTATTCCCTCCACTGACAGACAGGCTTAACATTTTTGATGACAAATGAAGTGCTATTCTTAGCATTCTTTGGCTTTTCTTCACTTCCTAATAAAATTCCTTTTCTTCTTCATCAACAGGACGATCCTTTATTTCATATTCCCGGTGCTGGGCAGCCAGCCAAGTGCTGGGTTCCCTCTCTGGCAGTCACACGCATGCCATGGCCGTTGGGTGGTTTTTGCAGCGTTTGCTCTTTCTTACGCTGCTTTTTCCGCTCCACAGCTGTACGCAAGGCCTGAAGAATCAGATCTTTGTTGTTCTGGACGTTGTAGTAACTTAGATTCACCAGTTTGTCAAAATTTTCTTCTGAATAGCTCAGATTGTTTATGTAATATGGGCCACAGGCATTGGCAACATCAACCTCGCCCTCTGCCATCTCTGAGGGACTGCGCTTCACACCTAACAGACAAGCAATGGCTTGGTTAATTTGCAAAAAATAATTAGGGTCTGGGTGTTTCTCAGGCATGCACAAATAGTGGATCACAAACCTAAACTAAATCAGTTTTTTGCTCCACTGTGCACCAAAGGGACACAGCATATGAGCAGGCTGAGCTTCTATCTATCTGCTAATACACAGAACAAATAGGTTCTTGGAAGGGGTCAATTAATTTTGTTGGATTCTGAAGATTACTGGATTCCAGTATGTACCTTTGACTGCTAAAGGACGGCTGAAGGTCCCACCTGTGGGGCAGGGACCTGAGGAAGTGGAGATCCACTGCTGTGTGCTATGCTGTAATCCCACGTCACGGTTTCACCCCAGCCAGCAGAAGCTAAACACAGCTGCTTGCTCAGTACACCCTGACCATGGGTGGGGAGAGAAGCAGAAGAGCAAAGGGAGAAAATGTGGGTGGAGATCAAGATGGTTTAGTGGGACAGAAAAGGAAGAGCAACATAATTCTCATTCCAGATCCTAAACAAGCACTATACCAGCTGCTAGGAAGAAAATTAACTATTTCCCAGAGCAAACCAGGTTCACATAGGTTTTCATGCTTCCTCATTATTGCACAGACCCTTTGGTTTTCTGACAGCTAGCATGAGGCAAAGAGAGCATTAGCAACCCAGAAATGGTAGGTAATACTGTCAGACAGAGTATCAGAAACATGAGAATTTTTCTATCAGCCTCCAGTGAGACCATCACACTGCCAAGAGGGTGCTACTGCAGCAAACAAGCACCCTCCACAGGCACAGATACCTGCACCACCCGAGCCAGGGCAGGGGAGTAGGCACTGGGAGAAGTCAGCATCTCCCTGACATGACCTCGTGCATTTGGGGAATCTTCTCTATCAACATGGATCTAACATCATCAATCAAAGGGTTCTGGTTTTCCTTGAAGGGTCTCTCAGTGTCCAATAAATGTACTCCTCTCAGCTTTGCAGACAGATTTACAGTGAACTGTTGCCACTCAACTGAAGCAGTCTAAGTGTCCCACAGAGAATTCCCTTTCTACTTGATTGTGGAATAGCCTTACAGTGCAGAAGTTAAGCAGTTTGAATATGTCAGTTTTACTTGTTTACTGCCCAGACTCTAAATTCCCCTTCTAAACAAGCTGATGGATGAGCTTCCTATGTAAAAACTGCCTGTTCATGTGATTGTACTAAAACTTCCCGTGCTGTACAATTTAGATCTGGGCTAGGGCATGGTACTGAAGCCCTATAAATTAAGCTGATCTCTGCCTGTCACTAACAAAAGGCAGACATCCGTTTCCAGCCTCACAGGACCTTCTGCAGCATCCATCCTGCTGCTGTGGAGGTCAGGTCTCAGCTGCAAGGTGTCAGTCCTCCCAAAAAATCTACCTGCACAGAGCCCTTTCATGCCACCTCAGCTGACTCTTTGCTCAAGGGGGCATGACGAGGACCCCTTCCTTCTCTTCCTGCTTAGTCTCATCTTGCAGCTGCCGGCTGAACCGGTTGGGCAACACAAGCTTGCCTCAAGTGTATGCAATAGGCAGATATTGTGCAGGTCTTCAAATGAATTTTCTTCATACCTAGCAACACCCCTTTTTTGACTGGCTGATAATTTATGTTGACGTTTAACATCTGCACATTATCAGATGTATACCTGATGGTAGATAACTGACTTAGGCTAGGCATCCCTCATTTCTGGAAATTAGTGAGGGGAAGAAGGCCAGCAAACTCCCTCACAGAGCAATACAAAAGAGCAGTTCAGTATAGAAGAACAGTACAGAAGCTAAATCTCAGCTCTCCTTCTACTTCTCTCTTATTTTTTCCTTTCTTAATTCTCTCTACAAAAGGCAACTGCAGAAAGCCACCTTTGGGTTATCTCATCAGTGGTGAGAGCTGGAGTAGAATCGTATGTACATGCATAAATATCCTCAGTCTATCTGAATCCTGTTCAGAACCCCAGTTGTACATCTCAAATGTGCAATGAACTCAATAGACAAAACAAAAGTACCATATTATTTTTTACTTCTTACTTAATATAAAAGATTAAGGATTGATACAACTGGGACAATATCTTCTGCATTTGTTTTGGTTTTTAATTTAATGTACCATGTACAAACCTAGACCTTCTGGCTTTCAAGTAGGGCTTTGAAGTGAACTCACAATCTGAGTTAGGAATTTTAGCATCTGGAGAAGGAGTAACTGAGGCTTTGGTGGCAAGAGCATATTATGGCATGTGGGATATGGTACCAGGACCTAGAATTCATCTGTTTAGAAGTGACTGGCAATTACAACTCTTGAAACTCTTTAAATTTCAAAGGGAAACAGACACTGTTGGAATGGCTTAGTGTTGTACTTTCATCACTTCACTGTGCTTCACTGTTACATTTTCACCACTTTGATGGTTCATCCTTTTGTTTTCAAGGTTATCTGCCTAACTGTAAGCCTGGAAATTATTTGAAACAATGAAATCCTTAGATTCCTTGGAGCATTCTCTAACAGGAGAGGATGACAAGTATGAGAGGAAATTACCCCTGCTAATTTCTGCTACTGCAGATAAACAAATATTGTTTTCCTCAATTAACTACAGTCTGCTTATGAAAAGCCAAAAAAAAATCTGAATTGGAAAATATGTACCAAAGGCGATCCCACATGCTCTGCTACTGTCCAGGAAAAATCACATATTTTAAGGTTTTTTATATGGTTCATATCTAAGCAAAGAGAATTAAAGTCTGTTATTACAGTGTGATCTGAAAACCAGGTGTTATCCAGTACAAAAGGGGAAGAAAGTGGCCACTGGCTGTTAATGTGATGGGCAACTGTTAACTTACCGGGTGCTTTGTATTCCCTGAAAGTGTCATTTACTAGAGGGAAAAATACCACAATAGGTGTTTCTGGGCTCTCTTTATCACCAACAATGTAGCATTCCTTTAGATGTGGAGTTTCCTGATCATCTGGCACCTTTGTAGGGAAAGGAATTCCCTGTTTCTTGAAGTATTTGGAGGCATCTTTCAGGGGCTTGTTGCCACATTAGGAAAACAAAACAAAAGAAAACATCAGAACATATGGGAAGAACTTTGACCAAAATCAGATTTCAGATATGGGGAATATTTGTGGGGCAAGGGATGGGTTCTGACAGATTATGGTACACATCTAATTAAGGTGTAGGTTGTTTATGGAGTCAAGCCTTGGAAGGCCAGAGTTAAGTGAAATGCATCTGAGTCCACCTGCCTGTCTCTGAAAATCTACACTGGCTATGTTTCACATTTGGCATGAAAAAGTTGCCTTAAGACAACTTTTTATTCCTAAGGAATTTAGCGTTCCTAGATGCAATCTGGTGTTGCATTTATTTGCATATCTGGTCTTCTGCATCAAACCCTTCTATTGTTGCAGTTATATTGTCCTGAAGGTACATTTTCCCTTGCACAGGAATATGTATGATGAGAAATATTAGACAATGTTTGAAGGCAATTAGCTTCATTCATTCTACTTCTGTCTGCCTTCAAATCAGCTAAAACCACTTACATGTAAAAAGGGGCAGGTGTAGTTTACTAAATTATTACTTCCTGATAACATTGGTACTGTTCCATAAAGATATGTGACCCCCAGTTAACAGCAAACTGTTAACTTGCCAACACTTCCCAGATATTGGGGGAAAACAAAAGTTTCTATGAGTAGAGGATCAGCCATTCTGTGAATTCAGTGATGAAACAGAGAAGTCAGTGAAGAAGAATGTGCAAGACTCACCCCTGTCTGTGAGCCTGAGCTGTAGTTGAAATGCAAAATGACATCCACTTTCCTTTCTGGCCTCATAAGGGGTGGGTAACTGGTAGCAAAGGCAAATGCAGTATCAATCAGGATGAGGTAGTCTGTTGCTGTTGTCAGGTGGTTGGGCTGGGAGTCCAGCTCGCAGTCTAGGAAAGAAGCACATTTTTTTTCAGAGAAAGTGCCCAATGCAAGGGAAGTGCTGAGGAAAGTCTATTGTTAACAAAAAGGGACTTCAACTTTTCTTGGGTCCTAGACCTACCTATATAGCTGATGGCTGCAGTTCAGTCATTTCTCAGTTCCTCATCTGGCTTCCTCTTTTCACTCTTTACTATGCAATTTCTTTGGCTTTCCTGTGACTAAAAGGGATTAACTTGGGGCTCAGAAGAATAGACTTAATTCATCTTGTGTATGACTCTGATCAGGTTGGTGGCTTTTCATTTTCTTTTTTTTTTTCTTTTCTGTTAATATGAAACAAATTAAAATGGCACCTTGCTCTCTCAACACAGTAAAAAGACTAAATATGTTGGGTGCCTTGCTCACTATGAGAACCGGCACAGAGCTACAATTTTACATGGAATACCTGGTACCAGACTGAACAAAAAAATTCCCTACCTGGATGACAGGGAATACTCTTACAAAGGTTATATCCTACTTAGAAGTAAAAATGTAACAGGAAACAAAGCTCTCTGCCACATCCCTTGAGCATGGGTAACTAATTGGGACTCTTCTCACCTATCAGTCATGAGACTTTAAGAATTTATTAAAAGAACTTAGTTTGAAGCCTCTCGTGCTACCTAAATTTAGCTTTCAGTGACAAACAGCATCAAATACTATCAGAATGAAACAAAAAAGCAGTTAGCTTGATAACTTTTAAAGGATTGTTTCTTTTTCACAAGGATGGTTTAAACTATAACTCAAAGCAGGGTGTTACCATACCTTTCCACTTGGAAAACTCGCTCTCTAGGTAGTTGTTGTTTATCTGGAGGCCTTTCAGGAAGTTATGGATTTCTGAGGCTGCTGGACGTAACATTGCAACATCTCGGAATATTTCTGAAAAGCTGTCAGGAGGACAAACCACTCGAGTATCCAGCTCATTTGGTCTTGTAGGGAATAGGGCTTCATCATCTGCAGAAGAAAGAATAACAGCTTATATATGTGCTTTCACTGTTGAAATCAATCTGTGCAGTCATCTTTTAGGTAATTATGTTTGAAAATTTGGACTTCTTTCTCTTTCTACTTCCAGGATTTTCACAAATCTCTTTTTTTTTTTTTTAGCTAGGCTTTGAAAAATTCATTTCTTCTTCTCACTTCACAGTGGCAAAAGCTTTGTTTGTACTGCAAAAGACTCCACCTCACCTACTAGAAATTTCTTTGCTTTGCTATAGTTTTATCCATTAAATACCTTGCACTTAACTGTGTCTTTCTTTGCTACTCCATGCCACATTTTCTCTCTCAGACACATAAAAAGCCACACAATAACAATCTCTCAGCCACACAAACATAATTAATATTCCTCACTAGCAAATACAGAATGCTTGATTTAACAACCAGAAATTACTCCCTTACAAGTGCTAGAAGATAAAATAAGTAAGCCTTTTTGAACTACTTCTCTTCCTTGTAATCTTTTCTTGGTAATGTGTTTGTCTTGTGTATTTGTCCTTGAAATCTGACCATGTGGAACTTTCTTAATTTTGTATCATGTTTTGCAAATGTCATCCTTATGAGTAGTTTGGAATGACTTCCAATAGTACTGAAGTTTCTGTCAATGTTTTGTAGACTTCAGAGATGTAAGGATGTTGTTTGCTCTCATTTCTCTGATGCTTCAACTTCTGAGAGAGGAGCTGGAAGATTGTGGAATGCTGTGTGAGCATCTTCCATCTACAGGGATATTTTTCTCTAGTTTTACCCTCCTGCTCAGAAAACATAAAGGGTCATTGTCTCTTATTTTTCTGTGATGGATCCTGTGGTTTCTTTTCACATACAACTGGAATAATTGCTGTATGTAATACATGGCATGAATTTCCTTCTGGTTTACATGTGGGTAATGGAAATGCCTGAAGAGAATGTTCTAAAAGGACTTTGAAAAATTCAGTAAGAGAGTAGCAGCACAGAGGGGAAAAAAAGATAAAACAAAATAATCACATAAGAATAACCCACCTATGTCAGTAATTTTGTCTCGTGTCCATTTGTGCCAGAAGTCTTCTGAATTAACAGATATATACCAAGCGTCCATGAGATTCAAGGAAAATACACTGCTCCAGATCCCTGTGGCATAGGATGTATTTCACAGAAAATAAATGGGGTGCAAAGGAATTTGATGTAAACTTTTCAAATAACTCACTGAACACTTCAGGGAATGGGGGCAGAAATGTCCCTGCATCATTCCAGAGAAGGTAGGGAGAAAGTGCTAAGGTGTAGAAAGGGGATGATGACCTGAGAGCATTTCTGATCACAGAGGGGAAGACCTGGGTCCTTACTGGAAACTGTAACCAGGGACAGAGAGATTCTAAGTTGCTTCCTTATGCCTCACCATTAACTATAGTGAAATCTCCATACAAGCAAAAAGTTTCAACTTCTCAAAAAAACCCCTGAAACTTCCTTTTTTCCTTTATGCAGTTGGTGGAAGTAGAAGGAACAATGAGGCAAGAGATTGCTTTTGCAATGGGAAGAAAGGTTTCCTTACTGCTTTCACTTTTTTATGAAAGAGGGAAAAAAATATAAATATTACAACATATTTGCACTCTGAAATGGAAATTTTATCTTAAGAATTAGTCAGGGCTAGATGTGGCAGGAACTTTGTAGATAAAAAGGTGCATTTTAGAGACTCAGGCTGCAGAAGAAGCAGATGGTTTGACTTAGCAGCAATGATACACAACTTTTGTTGCTGACAAATACATATATGTATTGCAAAGGTCTCATGTTAGTAAGCATATCTACAGATGAAATCAATAAGTCTGTTAAGATGAATAAGATCACAGAGAACATGAAAAATCCTGCAGATTGTGACCTGTTATCAGTTCTGGTATTTCACCATATATTGCTCCTGGTAGATAAAAACACACTAAATGTTTAATTTCATAAGAGGGGTTTGTGCAGGAGCAGATTATATTATACTACTTTTCCCCAGAACAACAAATCACCTTCCAAAAAGCAGATTCTGGATTCTGGGACTTTCTTCATCAGGCGACCCATGAAGAATTCACTGCCAAAATCTTCTGCAGGGATGAAGGCACCATATTTTGGGAATCCTACCTCATAAGGGGTGAATTCCACCCATTCTAAAAAGAAAAGGCATAAGACAGATTGATTACAGCAGCAGAAGCATAATTATTTGAATAAAACATGATATTGGCCAGGTTAAGGCGGACTGGTTTCTAATTAACACCCTTTGCAGCAGGCATTTATTCACTGTACATTTCACAGTAGTGAACATGCAGAACAAATTGTCCTCTTACAACTATATTTTTGACAGTTTCTACAGAAGTGCATAATGTCTTCTATTGTCCTGCTTTTGATCCTGTATTATACTAAGGTCTTCAAATTGTAACTATGAAATTTAGGTGGATTAGCCTTTCAGAGTATTTGTGCATTGAATTGATATCCTTATCTAATCTTAAATTGACCCCAACTGGGATTAATATTAAATGCAATTCTGCAGTATTGTTACCTCTAAAATCCTGGTCGCTGATTTTATCCTTCACATTGAGAGAGAGGTAGATGGGCAGGGGGTTTTGACCCTGACTTAGTGCCTGCTGCTGATCTGTGAGCTTATGGCAGTCCTCCTGTTTGAAAAATGACAGTAGCTGAGGACAGCTGGATGACACAAAGAGCCTCCCACTTCATCTAAACCTGGGTTCTAACAATGCAGTGCATACATGACTCCAGCGCTCCCCAGTTGCTTAGTTCAGAAAGGTGCTGCCATCCCTATCCCTGTCCCAGTGCTTCAGCACACAAATAATCCTAAAGTCATACGTTGAAAGAATACGGTAAGGAGAAAATGCTGTTACCCACATTTTTTATTTCAGAAAAAATGTCTGGGAATGTTTGAAAAGCACTCTTGACAGGAAATGTTTCATTATGAAAGAGTAAACCCCTCTGACTGTCCAGAAAAACACCTTTTCCTCAGACCTGTGACAGAGACAAGGCTCCTGCAGAGTTAGTGTTCAGCAAACCTTGGCCCTCCTGTTGCAGAGCTCAGGCAGGGTGGAAAGGGAGGGGTAGTTTGGGAGCAGAACCAAGGTTTGTGAGTGTGCTCCTACAAGCAGAGCAGCCCGTGGAAGGATGGCTGTGCCACCAGCGCCACCAGGCTTCCCTTGGGCCATTGTTGGCCAGGGGACAGGGCTGTGGGGACACTCACAGCTCCCTGCTGAACACAATCCCTGGGAGTCTCTACCACTGTGCTATGACCAGGCAGTAGAAATACTGTGTGTGGGGTTAATCATATTACAGGGGAGGTGTTTTCTCATTCTAAAGTATAAATGGCCTAGTGGGAAAGAAATATTGATGAAGATTAAAATAGAGCCAGAACACAGCTCTTGATGGAAATGTTTGCAGGGTGATGTCTTATGAACAGCTCAGAAATACTGTCTTTGGGCTTGTGATTTTCTTTTGTCTTGCCTCGTTGTGCAGCTCTTTTAAAAGAACAGCAGGATTTCCATTCAAATATTTACATGTGAATTCACAGGATCACAGAATGGTTGGGGTTAGAAGGGCCCTTAAAAGTCACTTAGCTCCAATCCCATTGTCATAGGCAGGGACACCTTCCACAAGACCAGGTTGCTCCCCATCCAACCTGGTCTTAAACACCTTCAGGGATGGGAGGGTCCACAACCTCTCTGGGAACCTCTTCCAGTGCCTCACTACCCTCATAGTCAAGAATTCTTCCTAATACCTAATTAAAACCTACCCTCCTTCATCTTAAGGCCATTTCCTCCTTGTCCTACCACTACATACCCTTGTGAATAGTCCCTCTCCAACCTTCTCGTAAGCCCCTTCTACATTCTGTGAGGAATAAATTAAAAGATGTTCATACTGTAAGTTTCCTGTTATTTCTTTTCATTCCCATCCTTTCTGTAGCAGGTGTGATGTTAAGATCTGTACAATACAGCCAACAAGCACTATGAATGCTACTGCCAAGGCACATGCTTTAGGCATCTATATGAAAAACAAACATGAAAAAACCTGTTTTGCATAAGGGTGGTCAAACATTGGCATGCGCTGCCCAGAGAATTTGTGGAGTCTTCAACTGTGGAGATATTCAAAGCCAGGGTAGTTCAGGGTAGCTGGCCCTTCCTAATGCTGCTGGGACAAGATGAATTTCAGAGTTCCCTTCCAATCTCAAGTAGTTTTTTATTTCCTCACTGCTGTATTCACTTGCTATTAAAATCTGAGGAGAAAGGTGCTGTTATTGTACCTTATCATGTAACATGGTTTCAATGATGAGTCCCCACAGATCTGTGAAACACAGCTGATGTCCTTCCTGTTTTCTCTGGCACAACTCTTCCAAATAGTATTTCAGACGATCAGGGGCAAAACAAGCAACAAACTTATTTTTTAGTACATGCTTTCGGGCATCATTGAGGGTTTCCTTGAGATCCTTTTGGGACCAGTCAGGATCTTCATACAAGTTTGACATGGTCCTAGAAAAAAAAAAAAAACAGGAAAAGTGTGAGTTCTGAAGCAGAGCTTTGGGAAGTTATGGAGGTTTGTGTATTACGTCTTCATTTATATGAAAAAAAAACCATGTGTTTGGTACTATCCACATATTTAATTAATTGCAAATGTGGGGAAATACCCACTGAAAGAAACAACAGGAAAAAAAAAAAACAAACAGGAAAATAAAGCCTTTTCTTGATAGTTAAGGTCATATAACTCAAGATCACTCCATGATGTCAATTATGGAAAATTCCTGTGTTCTTATCTTGGTCTTACCATGTTGTTCCAGATAAACCAGTGATATATGAGACACAGTCCAAGACATTCATTTCCTGCACACTGAGGAGGTGAGCATACATGGCTGTCAGAGCTCTGGTTCCACCTCCCGTTGTCATGATTGCCACCACAGGTACCTGTTCAATCCCAAAATACATGCATTTAGTGACATGGTCTGAGAAGGGACAGAGACATCTCTGATTAGAAGGAGAAATTTGCAGCACTGATGAAGTAGTGAAAACATGCCACCAGTCCAACATGAAGAAAAACCTGAATTAATAATGGGGCATGTAAGGAGTAAGAAATACTTCATATTTTCCTCTGTCAAGCAGCTCTGCAATAGAACATGAAATCCATTATCACATTTTCAGTGCTCTGTTTGAAAACCATTAACACAGAGCAGCAAAAAAATTAGCAAAAAATTAGAGGAAGTGGTACCTTCTTTCATCTGAATCAGATTATTATCAGACCAGAATATATCAGTGAGTTTCCGTATGAGCAGTAATAACTAACTTCTCTTTTCCTGAAGTCTGCTGAAACTATTGTACAGTTATTCCACAGGCCATACTAGAAATGTCATGACTGAAGGATTTAAGAGCACAGGCCAGTTCAGACCCCCTGAAACCAGAGGCTGGTGATACCATTCCCTTTTAAAGTTTCTGGAGGGAAAGAGGAACCATGCTCACACCACCTACCACATATACAGTATATACACATATATACAGTACTGGACATGCAAGTGAGCTGCAATTATTTGCTTCTGTGATCATAGAGAAATCCAGGAACTGGCAGTCTTAGAAACAGAATTAATTCATAAACATGAATTGGCTTCTTTAACCGTAAAGGCAGCTACTGTGTGTTGGAATGAATGAATGTCATGTACAAATCAGAAGAATATAGAGAGATTGTATGCTCTGCAGAGAAGTATCTGAGGGGAAAGGAATGATCCATGCCTTAGTGCTGGCATTGAAAGGCAGAGTCTAGTGTCTGAAAGGTCCAGCTGTGCAAGAAAACCTGAACTCACTTTAGGTCAAAACAAGAAAAATTTTTCATGTCTGCATTTGAGTTTAGGCTTACACTCCAGTCATAGGTTCATAATTAAAAAGAAGAGACACCTGCCTTAAAATTTATGTTATCAATCCTATTTGCTGAGCAAGATGAAGTCAGACTGGCAGCGTGCTGTGCTCACACAACAGGACACTAAATGATACACAAAATAAAGCCCAGTTTTAACCGTGAGGGAATGAAGTGCTGAATCCACTGTTCAAATATGGCAAAAAAGAAACTTTGGCCGCGGCTCTGAGAGCACCAAGCCCTTCTCTGTGTTATAGGGCAGACTGCTACTGAACACAAGGCTAGATTCTCTAGCTTCAGGGCTACAGCCTTTTTATTCATGTTTATGATGAGTACTCATTTCTTCCCTAGAACAGAGAAGTCAGCCACTGAGAAAATAGCTCAGCTGTAGCTGGTACATGAAACTACAGGGTTTCCAAAAAAGTGACCAAAAATGCTATGTTTTGACACTTATCTGTGCAGAAAGCAGAGAATAATTATGTCTCAGATACCTCATCATCCTGCAAGTCCTCTTCCAGATGCAGAATGTCCTTCAAAGCAGCTGCAACCACCTTCTTCCTCTTGCGAATGAAATCGTGTTCCTGGGCACACAGACCAAACCCCAGGCGTACGTCGAGGTCTTCCTGGCTGCAACAGGGATCAGATCTCATACATCACATTTGTAGTCTAAGCCAGCATTTCAATTGCTTTTCCTCATAAATAGACAGGCATTCACTACCAAGTCCACATAAAGCAAAGGAGGAAGATATTAAATTTTCTGTTTTTTTCTTGGAGAAAAGCAGTCCATCTGCCTTAGAACTGAAAGGAATTTTTTTTTCTCTCTGCCAAAGATGTCTGGAAATAAATACAGCTACAAAAAACAGCCGTTCCTTTTCAGACATAAATCCAGAAGCCTGCAGAGGGCAGTGTTTCAAAGGTGGCTTTTAAAAGTTGTGCAAACTTCCACTGATACCTGTGAAACGTTCTACTGAAGTTGTAGATTTACATGATCAGATGTTCTTTTGGTGCTTATAAGCACTACATTTGTGGTTTAAAAACTGCTGTGAAAATCTTGCATAGGCATTCTAAGGAAGGAGTTTTTAAATGACATCTGTATGTATATTTCATAGCATATTTACTGAAAAAAACAGCATGATGGAAAAAGAACCTGCTTTTCTGGAAGTTCCCTTCTGTTACAATATGGAACATAATGTAACATATCCATCTTATAAATTTTACTAAGGCCTGAACAATATTCCAAAATACACAGTGTGTTTCCTTGGTTTATAAATAAGCAATCACTTCACTGAGTTTATGTGTGTTTCTCTCTTTGAGTAGATATTAAAACAATAAATTTATTATTTCAATTTTTTTCCACATCTTAGAGTACCTGTATGTATACCATATACCTATATGTATACCATACACAGTATAAATAGAAAATTAGTGTGTTCTTTATAAAACCTTTTCTTAACATCCTGTCCCATTACAAAAACTCTATTGCTGAAAATCTTTGCATTATGTACTGAGTGTGTTTCACTTTATAGTCTGAAATAAGGATGGACCAGCGTTCAGGACAAAGGCAGTAACAAAGGGATTGGAACTTCATTTACAACCATCTAAATACAAAGAACCAAGGGAAAAACCACAGGTGTCTTACCATTTTTTCACCTTAAGGAGAAAATCAAATTTTCTGTGCTGAAAATTGAAAAGATAAAATTATGAATATTGATATTTTGTTTACAACAGTCCCTTTCCCCCACTCAGACTGAGACAGACCTTTTGGGTAATCATTACACCTTCAAAACTCTGAGTCTCAAAAAACTGAGATCTCTTCTCAGTATTTCAATAGTAACCAGAGATGTGCACTGATTTAATGGATTAAGACTTTAGCACACTATCGTCTGTAGTCCACATGTTATCTCTCTCATAAAACTCAGTGTAGCTTGCCTGGTACTAGTAAGCTACACAAATAAATACGAGAAGAGCTGCAGTGCTACAGCTCACCTCTCTGGAAGGATCCACCACTGAAGATGGGTGTTGAAACCAGAGCCTCTCACAATGTCAGGTACAAGGGGAAGCCCGAGAGGCTGAGCACTCCACACGTGTGGCTTGGCTTTGTTTCCCAGGGCAGTGTGCCAGGCTGCAGCCACACCACACTGTCCCAGTGGCACCCAGTCACCTCCAGCGTGGTTAAGTACATGGACAGTACAAGGAGCATGAGCAACAGCTTGGATATTTTTCTTCTTCCCCCTTTTCCCATGGATTTCCCATTTTATTTTGCTCCAAATAATTTACTTCACTATGCATTGCCCTAGGTTGGAGGAGGTTAGAAAACAACTGTCTCTGTTGTAAAAAGAGAACCAGAAGCCAAGAAGCCCTTGGTTTCTGCTTCATGCAAATTAGAAAGCATTTTTTAAAGCTTGCAAAGGATTCCCCATGGCCAGCAGACACTCACCTCGCCAACTACTTCCTGCTCGGAGGGGAGTGACTTCAGAGGGATTGTCAAGGGGACACTTCTCCTCCTTGGTCCACATGACATGCAAGCACACTGAAAAGGGACATGGAGTGCTTTTTGGTTAAAACAGAAATGTTCTCCTCTTGCTCCCTACTCACACATAAATGTCAGGTCATAGAACTGTCTGTGTTGTCTACCATGTTCTGGGGTAACGTACAAAGGTGGGAAGCTTCCTCTTCTTTCTGAGTGCAACATCCAGGGAGGGTTGTTTGTATCTGGCATAGTGGAAGAAAGTGGGATCTGGGAGAGGGGAGCGGGAGTCACAGCCCACTGAAACTGTCTGAGTTTCTTCAAAGGATCCTCTCACTGTAAATGTTAGCTCATTCTCTAAAACAATGAGATAAAACGCATACACAAAGTTACTTATAATTGTAAAAAAAACAGGGGAAAAAAAGAAGCAAAAGGTAGCTTTGAACAAATTCTTTCTCCTCTTAATTTGTATTTGGAAAACTATCTTCTAAAAGTGATCGAAACCCCAAACATTTCAGGTGACATCATAATGTGCTGAGCAAGGAGTCAGATGGGAATGTGACATGGATGGCACTGAATTTTAGATTGCTGCTTCCCTGTTGCAGTTTCATCATGACGCAGTGAATACAACCAGGTACATTGCATGGTAAATCATCTTCATCCCAGACCAAATAATGAGCTGAAGAAGTTCTCAGTCCCCTAAAATAAGATCTGACTCTTATGAGCAGCAGATGACCCTATTTATATGAATAGTTCAGCTAATCCTGCCAGTGTGCATTATGCATGCTCTGAGATTGCCTACCAGATCCAGCCCCTCAGGGGATGTGGGCAGAGGAGCTTCTAGATTCTGAATCTTGACCAGGGTCAGGCAGGAGCCAGCTGCTGAGTGGCTAACCCCTGCAAAAAATGAGGTGTTTCTGTGCACATGCGTAAGTTGAAGTGACAGAGATCCTGAGCAAAGTTAACACTATAATACCTGAGGAATTAATACCTGAGGAATTAAGCTTCTTCAGAGTTTAGCAGTACTGCAGCAGCAGTTTGCAGAATCTCAACTTGGGTTTTAGATACCTTCTGTATAATCATCTGATTCTAGTTGTTTCTAGTCTGGCACAAGACTCCTCTTGAAGTCAGAACCCTGAACTGCTGCAGGACTGGTGGCATTCCCTACTACAGATTTTGTACAAATCACCTTAAATGTGATCAATTAAAGCCTTAGTATTTTGCTGATGCAATGTCCAGGCCTTGTTAGAGACAGTAAAATCACCAATATTTATTTTAAGAAATAATAATCTTACCTGAAAAACGCTTCTTTTGCCTCCTGCTGTCCAAGTGAACTTCCAAACAGGCTTCTTCACGACACTACAGTAGGTGTGATGAGGACAGATTAGATAACTCACTAGATAATTATTTTCTAATGAGTTATCTAATTAGATAGCTCATCCAGCCATCCGCCACCAGTGCTGGCAGATGTAGAAAGGATCATTGTAGGAAAGGTCATTGTTTGAATGGGGGGGGCGCAGCTGTGTTGGACACTTTTGCCAGACACAGTGAATGTGAGAATTAATGTATTGTCACATGGGAAGATGGTGCTATGCTAAACACATTGTCATTTTCAATGGATGCAGACAAAACAAGGGAGAATTATAATAGTCAGAAGGCTCCTCTAAGATCATGCTGTTCTCCTTAAAGATAAAGCTCCCAAGAGAAAGAATCACTAAAGAATGAAGACTTGCAATGTTTCCCTCACTGACATTGTAGTTAGCTGTGGTAAGGAATGATGTGGGAAAGAATACAAAAGAACAAAATGTTATTTTACCACTATTGCCCCATTTGTGATGATGGTTTCAGGAGGACCCTGGCTGGAAAACAAGAACAAATAATATATATTTTATAAACAATACATTCTGGAAACTGTCCTGAGCAGGACACATTATTCTCTCTAAATTTTTTATTACTATTTTTTTAGTTACTCCTTCTTGTGATTTCTGTAAGTATACTCCCTTGACAGTAGATGCCACATAATGACCCAGCAGAAATTATTAAATTGTCTAAGGCACCTGGAAAGTCCTTGCAACAGTCTTAGTAACACAGGCATGACACAAGCTGGGTGGCAACATTATCCTCAGCCATGACTTTCCCAGAGAACACTGTCCAGTAAATCTGCAGACTTACTGCAGTGGGGTTTGCCAGCCTACTTTGAATTATTTAAGTAAAAAATCATAAGAGAAAGTCACAGAATTAAAAATTCTTAACTCTTCTCCACATCATAGCATTTTCCCTTTCATATAATGTTTTTTAATGCACATATTAAGTCTGGAAAAACTTGTCTCTGGCTATTAAGGTGGTACTGCATGTACAAAAGGTTTCCCTGCACTAATGCATAACTCCAAGCTGCCAACAGTAATGGGGTACATGTTATACTCACATGGTCTCCAATACAAATTCAACTTCCAGCTCCTCCTTCCCCTGAAAATAAAAAAAGAAGCTGCCTCAAGTAGCATGTGTAGAGGTTTTCAAAGTGACCTTAATTTTTGCAAGCACTGTTTCCTTTATATTTAATAAGTAAAAATATTCTGTTTTGTATTCGCTATTATCAGCATTAAATGACAGAGGCAGCTTTTTCTTCCCCAAGGAACTCAATTGTACTTGAAGAACGAAGGGTGTTTGGTGCTTGTAAATCCCCCTAACAAACCTATTTCACACTTTCTTGTCTGCCAGCTTCCATGTGCTGAACATGATATGCTAAGGCTTAGTGTTTAGGAAAATATTGTGGAAACAGGCCATTTCCCCATGCTTGCATTGTTTTGGTTTTTACAGTCTTTGTGAGGATTAGATAAACTGTTATTTTCTATCAGATTATTGAAAGCACAAAGCTTCCCTAAAATTGCATCTGCTCTGGGGCTTGTGAATTTGGCCATGACCTGTGCCAAAGGAAACCAACAGGAATCTGAGAAGGCCATCTATTTTGTCACTGATGTGAAGTGTCCAGGATGTTAATAAATTTTGCTACATGTTTACCAGCAAGCTGGTCCTGGTGGTAAAACCAGAAGAGACAGTACACCTCTTTAACAGAGAGGAGAGAATGGACATCAAGCTGTATTAAATGTCTGACCGAGCTCTTACCTCTGGGGTTAGTGGGAATGCTGTAAAAACTCTTTCCCCAAGGGGGATTTTAGCTACATCAAAAAGCACAATTGCATGGTCATCATCGTGAATGATGTCATCATCAGAAACAGTAATTTCCAGAACATTCTAGGAAAAGAAATGAAAAATATCCAATTCACTAGTGTGCATGACATACAAGAATTATGGCATTCTGCAGCTCTTCCAGGCTTAGTGTCTGCTTTACAGAGAGGAAACAGGAAAGAATTGATGAAAAAGTATGAGAAGGAAGAGTAAGAAAGTGAGTATAAAGAGCCAGGTCTTATCAATTAAAGATGAACTGACATCTCTTTTGGGCCAGCTGTTGTGCTTTTAAGTAGATCTATAAAAAATGCAATTTCTAGGGAGGAATATGGATTACCAAAAGTTCTATATTGCTTCATATCAGCAGGGGCAATAGAGATTACTTCAGATCAATAACCACCCTTCTAGATCGTTGGACATTCTGCTTTCAGCCTCCTGTTCACAGGTATTTGAGCGTAGCTCAATTATCAGCAGCAAACTGACTAAAGATCTTAATCATACAAGAATTTGGCATCATCTCCTGCCATTACTTCATGTCCTTTCATAAAAATATGTGGTTTTCTGTTACAGTGTAATTTTATATTTTCATTTCCGTTTCTCTGTGTTGTCATTGTCATGGGTCCCATCAGCTTTCCCCAAGGAGGTCAGAATTGGTCATTACCCATACGTAAATAACAACAACTATCTGTTAGGAGTAAATTGGATTCCAGCAAAGCCAGAATTGCTCTGCTTCAGCTTGTACGGGAATTTTAAGTAAACTCAGAAATGCACTAGAAGATATTTCTAGTTTAGGGGTTTGGGGCTAATCTGAAAGACACTGCATAGAGATTAGATGAAAAAGAGAGGTTTTGGGTTGTTTACCTTGACTTTTCTCTGTATCCGGAAGTAGAAAGTTTCATTCCACACAGGATTTCCGCAGTTTTTGATGGTTTTGGTGTGGAATATTTCATCTGAAGCTGTTGGCAACCAGAGCCTCACATAGCAGTCAGATTGGCTTACTGTAGAAACATAGGCACAAAGTATCTAGCAGAGGAGGCACGATATAAGCAGTGGAGACATTGAAATGTTCTATAGCTTTAACATGGGAGAGAGATGGCCAGGGTTTTTTTTCTGATAAACATCGGCCAAACCGATAGGAACATAGAAATCACACAGCTGGGTAAAATTAATTTGTTCATCTCAACACTATTTTTAATAAGCAGTGTTTTCAAACAATTATGCATAATCTTACACATTCAAAGAGAAAAAAACCCCAATCTTAGCTAGCAAATAGAGTAGTGTGTATATTCAGGAGTCTTGTATTGCTCCATATCAACAAAATTTGGCAGGTGAAACCATGACAGAGGCAACACAACATTAACTTCAGACCCTGAGAGGGACTGCACATAAATTGTCTCTGTAGTAATTGAACTTGGTGAGAAATATCAAAAGAATTGGGTTTAAGTCTGATTCAGATAGCAGATGTCTGACATACCTGGTTATTAACTCCTTATGACAGAAAATTAATTACCCCAGTGACCTTGATCCTCGTCTCCCTAGGTGGGGTAGGAAGGGAGCGGCCTACCAGCAGCACAATTGCTGCTTCAGGAGCTCAGCAGGAACTGGAGCCTTTTCCTGGTGTTTGCTGATGCTTGAAGGAATCTAATTCCTACTTCACATCTCTTCCCAGGAATAGTGAAGTGGATTTGCATCTTGTGGATGGAGGGAGCGGAGTGAGTTCGCTTGCTCTAAATTACCATCTCCCATAGATCCTGAACCAAGTGAACACCAAAAAGATTCTCAGACCTTGGACAGGAACTTTTCCAGTGGCAGCTAGAAGGGTTGATCCATCCTGTTCTGTAAACAAAGGCTTTGCCAAGAAAAGAGGAGGAGTCTGGTGCCCTGGCAGTCAACAGAGAGAAGCACCTCGCCAGCAGGGAGAAGAGCACCTCCTCTCTGTAAGCATGGTGCAGGTCTTGAGGCATCTCCTCAAGGTTAGAAGTGAGTTCATCCTTATGTCTTTGTTCAGAACACATTGCTTTGGGGTATTTTGCCTAAAAATAAGGCGTTGCCTGAAATCCAGAGACCCTGTGACATCCTCAGGGAAAGATGCCTGTCCATTAGGGAGATTCCCATGTAACTTCATGCTGTATCTTGAAGGAATTTCTTGACACTGTCAGTTTTCTCTCTAGAAGGTAGTAGATCGCCTGTCTTTGAAATTATTTCCACTGACAAAGTTTCAGAGTCTCAGATTTTAACATAATGGAGGTGACAGAATAATATGTTGACTTTGGCAATTACCAGTACAATACTTAATTTACTAGGAGTGGGAGGGCAGTGCTTGTTGATCTGTCTGATAGCTGAAAGCCCTTCCCTCACTGCTGCCTGACAGCCTGCTGAGCTGTGATGTACTCATCCTGATAAATGGTATCACTGCCTCGGATCTACAGAGCCTGTTCAATAGACAAGAACTAAATGTGGCTTCAGGGCATCTGGACCATCCCTCCTCTCATTAATGCACACACAACTGCCAATCTCAAGTGTTTCAAAAACATCTCCAAAACTGCCAAAGTGGATGAAGGGGGGATGTAATTCATAAATTAACATTTCTGAACTGATTTAAGACATAATTTCTCTCCCTTTTAATGTCTAGCTGTCATAGGGTGCAGGAAGGACGCATTTTGATATTTTTGCTGTACTTGCAAAGGCACATTCTTTTCTTTTCCTTTCTTTTTCCTAAAGAAAACCAAAATGGTCTTGAAAACCAAACTGCTTTGCCCTTATTTTAAATTTAATTTTTTCATCACATGCTGTATAAAATAAGACTTATGACAGAACTGAGAAAGCTGGCAGTGTGAAATCTCTGAGACAACCATGAATGGATAGCTGCAGCACTTATGTCTTTTATTACTGTTTTATCTGGAATTTACTGATTTTCTGGAGTGCTTTCTTTGGCAAAATATCTTCATGAGGCTGCTTTCTAAAATTACTGTTCAGTATGTGTGTTGATTTCATAAATATTTATGTAAAATAAGCTATTGAAAATTCTTTGTCAAACTGATGAAGTACAGCATAGATACATGGAAAGTGAGGTGGATTAAAAACTGATTTAACTAGCAGGATCAAGTGATTGTAGTTGGCAGCACAAAGCACATTTGGAGACCAGTGCCTACTGGTGTACCCCAGAGGCTGACAGTGGAGCCAGTGCTGTTTAACATCTGTAATAACCATGTGAGTGATGCGACAGAGGTCAGCTTCAGCACGTTTGCAGGTGGAGCAAAACCTCGGGGCCTGGTTGACACAGCAGAAGGCTGTGCTGCCCTTCAGAAGGACCTGGGCGGGTGGGAGGACTGGGCCAGCATGAGCCTCATGAAGTTCACTGGGGAAAAGGCAAAGTCCTTCACAGGAGGAGACAAAACCCCAGCAGCAGGATGGGCTGAGGGCTGACCAGCTGGACAGCAGCTCTGCAGAGAGGCATTTGTCCATGCTAGGCTGAACGCAAGCCATGAGCTGTCCTTGTGGCAAGCGAGGCCAGCAGCCTCCTGAGCTGCATCAGGAGCGTTGCCAGCAGCTGGAAATTGGCTCCTTCCTCGCTGCTCAGCACTGACAAGGCCACACCTCTGGGTTCCCCAGTACAAGAGAGGCAAGGATGTGCTGAACTGAGCTGAACAAAAAAGTCCAGAAAGAGAATGTAGGAATGGATCATCTTCCCTATGGGGAGAAGCTGAGACTCTTCAGCCTGAAGCAGAGAAGGCTTATGGGGTCTTATCAGTTTAAGTAAATACCTGATCAGGGGAGAGGAAAATTAATAAGTCTGAGTCAGACCCTCCTCCCTGGTGCCCAGTGAAAGGTAAAAGGACACAAACCAATATGCAGGGAATCCCACTAAAACATAAGTAAAAATTTAATTTTTACCATGACACTGTAAACACCACCACACACTGTCACAGATTGCCCAGAAATGATACGGCTCTGAACAACCTACTGAAGCCAATCCTGTTTACAGCAGGGGTCTGGACTACACCATCTCCAGAAGTGCCTTCACACCTCAGCCACTTTGTGTGATTCTGCTGTAACAAAGCTAGTTGGTCACAGACAAATAAATTACGTAACAGTGTTAGTAACTCCCGTATGCAAATTTGACCTTGAAGATGGGGTGAGGTGATATCACTAGGACAAAGTACATTCTCTTCCTGTGAAGAAAGGGGTCTATGCCACATCTGCTTTTGCGACAATTCATCTACAGTCCCTACCAATGTGGAGATGTTCTTGTTTTCCACAGGATTCCTGTGATTTTCTATGCTTTCCTTTAATTTTACAGACAGTATTCCCATGCTGTGGTTCTTATGTAATACATGAGCTTATGTATTTCTGTAGAAGTGGCAGTTCACTTGAACTGTTGAGACTAAACTGTGAGACAATCAGTGAGATAAATAAAAAATAACAGGATAGTTCACTGTCTGCTGAATACTATGATGGTTATGATACTATTATTATATGACAGCCCTTGAAATTACTAATCACCTTACATTACTCTTTCTTATCCCTGAAAAAAGCATACAGGAGAGCTACTGAGAATGTTCCAGTTTATTCATTGCTACCTGAGAGCTAATACAAAAAAATTCTATTTACATTTTCTTCATGCTGCAGTTGTAATGCAGTTGCTGGTCTTTGTTAGCAGTTTCATGCCACGCCAGCCCCTTACTTCAGTGCATATGTTGCAACTTCCCTGATGACATAATGTCACCTCATGTGAATGCTGAGACATTTGAACTCACAGTCTCTCTGAAGGTCAGCACTAAGTGACCCTGGTGTCCTTTTCCAATTTGTAGCTTCTGATTTAATTTTTATGATGGTGAGACGGCTTCTCAACTCTGTCTTAGAGCTAAAGATCAGTTAAAAATACAAGACCAAAAGAAGTAGTGCAGAACTGCAGCTATGTGTGCTACTCTGTGAGAGTACAGTCCTGTGAGGTGTACCTGAGATGAACCACCACGTGCTAAATCACTTATCTCCATCACAGGTAAGGAGAAAATTACAGCACTGAAAAGCAAAGCAGATAAGAAAAACTAGCCTCATAGGTGCAATGAATGTAAACTACAAAATCCCATCTGTCCTGTTACTGCATTTCGTAACACCAAAACGAAGAAATAATTTTCTCCTAGTGAAATATTCTTCACCTGCACAGACAGGTTCTCCTTGAATCCTAGTTTACTACAGTTCACCTAAGAGGAGGAGGAGAACTGCTCCCATTTCTCAATTGCTGGACATATTTGGGAACATTTTCCCTCACCAGCTTAGTACAATACAAACAGTATTGGGAACATTTTCCCTCACCAGCTTAGTACAATATAAACAGTATTGTACAATACAAACAGTATTGAGGATTTACCTCCTACTGCTATCTGAGAGGGGATTTGGACTCAGCTAAGAGCTCTACCAGTATCCTGGTGCAATACTCACTTGTAAGCACAATATTGCTCTCTGTGGCTTACTTGTGAAAATAACCAAAGCTCACAGGTGAACTAAAGTGCTTAATCAGTGAAGTCTTTGACCAGGGATGAACAGAGTCCCCTTGTGAATGAGCCCTTTACTCAGTCCAGCCATTTAAGTAAAGTGGCAAAGTAGGATTTTCTCCAGTGGGTGCAGTACCTGCTGCAGTCCCAGCTGAAAGTTTCATGCCCTGGGTCACCTCTCCCTCCTGCACCACTGTACTCCCACTGGCACCACTTGCTTTCCTGGGGCAGGGCCATAAGTACCACTTGCACTAGCTGTAATCTCTCTAATTTTTTTTTTTTTTGCACTTATTTTCTGAAGCAAAAATAATCCTTTATGTCTCTGGAGAATGACTCTGATTTGCAAAGGTTCCAAGTGTACTGTTGCAGAACTGACTCATTTCTTCTGAAGGGATAATATAAAAGCTTCCACCAAATAATTTCATAAGATCTTAGAGGACAAAGTCTAGGAGCACCTCTTTTATAAATATGTGAGATCTCCATTCATTCAAAGAAGAAAAACCAAAGGAAGATCTGAAAAGAGAAGGAACAGTTGAGGGAGAGGAGTGGTTCTTCTGACATCCCAGCTAAGACTAACAGGTTTGTTTCCACGGCTGAGAAGGTTTCCACATGTGCCTGTTTTCCTACAGTAGAAAATATGCTGGAGTGCAGTCACATTCCAGCTAACACTAACTTTCCTACCTTAGCTCTGACAGCCTCTTCATCTGACAAGACTTCTCTCAGAGAATCTACTATGTTCCACAAAAACAGCATCTGTCAACCTGAAGCTCACTCCAGGTAATTTCTTACTGGGACACAGAGCTCAAATTCACCTCTGCAGCCCAGGAAGAGCATTGCAAACACTCAGCATCACTGAGGCTAAATGTGTCAAGCCAGACCTGACACCACCACTCTTCACTTAATCTGTGTTAATGAGCCTGAACATGCCTCCAACAGCAAAGGTCATCTCTTGGAATGTGGAATCAGCTGGTAGCCATGTAGGCTGCCACACCTTCAGAGAGGAGTATTGTCACAGAGACCTCTTTACTCAGATCTTCAAGATTAGGTGAGATCCAGTGGAGTCCAGCAGTTTTGCTCTTTCACATGGCACTCAGTAGTGGTGGAGAGATGACCACAGGTCTGTTCACCTGTGCTAAGGATCTGGAAGAGGATTGCTTCCACTTCTGTGGCCTCAGGGCAAATGCCCTCCCAGATCCCCTCACTGATCCTGTTAGTCTGTGGAGCAGGTGTCAGCTTCAGCCACGGGGTTTAGAGGCTGCCATAAAACAAACAATCAATAGTGATGGTGAAAATGGGCCAGGCAGGGAGCTTGGTGCAGCTCTGTGTGGCCACCCAATAACTCACGTGTTTAAGGAGAGCAGCTGGAAGCTGTTGGAGAGTCTGTGCCACCATGGCCCTCCACTTCTGTCACTCAGCTCCTTTTCCTTTCTTTTGGGAAGCACTGGAAGGGGTATCATCAGCAAGAAAAGAAGCTAATAGACAATTTTCCCTGCCGTCTCATCCTGACCAGATATTCCTCCCACATATGGGGAGTTCTGCAGAAGTGACACCATGAATACAGTTAGGAAACATGAGCTTTTGTAAAAGCACTAGCAGTGACTTCCAGCTGAGAAGGAGCAAATGGACACACCAGTGACCTAAAAAGACACTATTTTGCCAAAGGCTGCATGCACTGGATGTGCATGCAGCCTTTGGCAAAATGGACATCCAGTGCATGGATGTCCGTCTTGGACTGAGGAGGGGAATACCACTGCAAAATAGGCACCAGACTGCAAGAGACTCAAACGGTAATGGAATTTATTCCTTTCTAGTCCCCGTACCACCTTCACAGCCAAGCTGCATAGAGCACTGGAGCCTGGTGATGACACAGTGCCTGCAGGGCAGCACGATGAGTGTAAGTGATCTTATCTGGGTGCCTTTCTCTCCAGTGCCCACAGTGAGATCAGGGAGTGCCAGAAATGCTTGAGTCTGACCCATGATTACTAATCGGCATAAAGGTTAGTTAGGAGTACAGTGCAAAATAATTAGCCCAGGTCTGTCAAGAGTATTTGCGTGGTAAGACAAGACAGAAACCAATTATATGTAGCATGAAGCAGATGCTGGAGAGGAATATCACTCTATAGAGGAGAGAGCAAAAAGGGTGGGGTGACAGCAGGGATGTGAAAGGGGCCAATTGACCCATTCAGGAGGAGTGAACTGTTTCCCATTCGGTTCAATTTTTTTATTTGTGTGCCAAACTCTATCAACATGTGCTGTCTACAGGCAAAGGTGTAACATCAGATTTCAGGATAAGCTTGGATTTCATCCCAGGCTTGTGAAACACACATCCCATGGATCTTGAGGTGCACATTTAAAAAAAAACCAGCCAAGATTAAGTTGGTGCATGTGACAGTGAGGAATATCAGTGGAAATATGCAGAAGTGGTGTTCCCTGAAGCCAGGATTTGGCAAGTAAATCAAAGAAAAATGTAGAATCTCTATGACCAAGCAACCTGATACGATGGCATTTGCAATAAACAGAGAGAAAATCTTGGAATGGAGCACTGCACATGCTGAAAAAGATGGGAAGCCAGCATGCAGGTAGAAAAAGCAATTAAGAAGTGGCTGCACTGGATTGAAAAGGTGGCTTGCACCTGGATTTGATACAGGGAAACTGAAAATCTAGGGAACTCTGAAATATATTGTTACAAAAATTGTCAGTCTTCTACAGATATCTCACAGTCAGATAGTATCAGATGATTCTGATCAGTTTTCCAGGGCAAAGATCATATTGCTGAGAAAAGGCTAGGTAAATATAATTTTATTATTCTCATTAGCACACAGTAGCATGTCTAGTTATTTTAGTTTTCTGATACTTCAAATGCATTCAAATGTTAAAATAAAAACGCTAAGCTAAAAGAACATCAATAGCAGTGCAAAATCAAGCACTTGAAAGCTACAATATATATTTTTTTAATTGTACTTAAGTTTTAAAATTCTAGAATATCACACTCTTTTTTCTGTGAGACTTCAACTTCTTTGAAAGCAGAGATAGGTTGTTACTTAGTCAACAAAGATCTATCTGATGTTTGTCTATTTTCCTTGTTCAACAGCATCCTGGTCTAGAGTGCTTCATTCTATGACATCATTAGGAAACAGGCCCAAACAGGCTCACGGAGTAGCTGGGGAATTACTGACAGAAAAAAAAAAAAAAGACAGTGTTCCTCACCAACTGGTCCCCAAGCCTTATTTACTGGTAATTAACAAAAGAATCTGAAAATACTTCTCACTGTTTCTAGGCCTTACCTAACATCTTAAATTATAATCTCTCTACAATAGTAGGAAATTCAAAATGAGCACATCACCTAAATAGATAAGAGAGAAACAAAAGATGTTGTAGAAGATACTCTGTTCTGTAGACAAGGTAACAGAGGCACTGAATGTTTTGATGTATAAATTTACCTAAACTTCTTATGCAACAAGTCCATGAACAGAACTAAAAACTGAGCCCACATGTCTTGAGCTCTACTCCAGGGGTGTACATTTTGGTGGTAATAGGAATTTTCAAAATGTCTATAACTCACTAAGTGAGACTTCTCAGAAATCTCCCTGTCCTCAGGATGGAGGACAAGGTCACAACTCTAACACTGTTTTCTGAGAATGCCGCATCATTTTATTTTGTGCAATCCCTTTACACAAGTGGTTGAATCATGGTTCTTATCTGGTTCAATTTTCATTCTAGATTAAAGGTGATACTAAGAGAAATTAAACCAACAGTTCAAAGGAATGAAGGTGAGGTCTTGCACATACATGCAGTGTTCCATAGCTCTCAAAAGGAATAGAAATTCATTTGAACTTTTCTGCTATACTATAATATTTTTTCTAATTTTTGCGGCCCAATATTACAAGCAATGTGAACAGAACACTTCTCTCCACTTGACTGGAAAATTGACAAGGGTGACATCTGTGGTCTTGAAACACCAAAGTGAGTGAAATATGAAGAGATAGTGAAAAATTTTATCTGTAGGATTTTGTGGCTTCAGCAAACTCCATTATGATGTCCCAAAAAGGAAAGAAAATGCAAAACAAGAGGTGGAAGAACAGTATGGTAAAGGAGTATGCAAAACCGTGTTATCATCCTGATGTGCCAAGTTCATGAGACACATGTAGGAATGGCAGGAAAAAATTCGCAGAGAAAAATCTCTGGGAATGTGAACCACCAGGCGAGGGCTGTCCAAGCATCACACATTTTCAGAACACTTGGCAGGTCAGCTGTAATGTACCATGTACCACAGTCCCCAAAAGATTTCTGTTAGACATCTTCCACTGGGGGGAAAGAGTCAGCTGATGTCATGATGCTCAGGACAACCAAAGAATTAAAAGAGTGTGTAAGTATGTCAGCTGTATATTCTATGCATTTATCATGGATATGTTCTATAAACATCTGTATGTTTAAACTGGTGTTACAATATTTTCAAGCCCCTGAAAATATCCAAGCCAGCTTGTCAGATAAATAACAGGAAAAAAAACCCCAATAAACAAATAAACCTCTGAAATTGCAAATAGATATTATGTGGCATAAATTGCCTTCAACTCTGTTTTCTTAGCTAATTTGACTTTAGTGCTTTGCATTTGTGCAATGTCTAGCAGAAAGAGGGGCTGATACAGTAATTTGAGAATGGTGTGACATCAATAAATAAATCTGGTACTTACAAAAATCCGCCTGATGAGCATTTTTCAACTTTATGATTCTCACAGTAAGCAAGGAGTAAGGTGTAATTTCTTCCTGAAAAAAAAACAAAAAAACAAAAACCAAAGGAGATGTATCTTAAGTTTTGAATGTATGCATTGACTGTAATACAAACAAACACTGAAAAGAACCAAGGTTCTGCTAAAGTTGTCTCTTCCAGCTGGCATCACAGCAAAAATATAATAGTGCATTTTGCTGCCTTTCTTCACAAACTTCATTGACCCCTAAAGCCTGTAGCTATCTAAGCACAAAGAGATGTGGAAAGAGAGGATGAATAGGAAAATTAAGACAGTGTAAATAAGCTGAAAAAGTTCATTTAGCCAGTAACATTAAATTGTACACATGGTCAGCAGCCAATATGAAGACAAAATTCAGTGAATCCAGAAATCAGAGATGCTTCAGATTTGGTTTGCTATTGACCAACAGCCTGTGTTGTGCTGTAGGTAGAATCAAGGCCTATACAAAAAATTCTTCTTTTAGTGCAGTGCTTGGATAATTGGTGAGATGGGGGGAAAGATAGGTATTTCTATGTTTTCTTGCTTGTTTTTAAAACACTCATTTTCATGAGAGAGAGATGACTAAGGATGAATGTTAGGACCTTAGGGAATGTCTCAGGACTCCACAACACACAACTTTGGACAAACACTCCTAGTTTGCTTTGTGGGAACAGAGGTTTTCCTTACCAAGGATGGTTATCTGATTGATGGACATGGAATAGTTTTGACTACAATCCATAATTTCAAAGAAGGCTATCTCCAATTCCTTGTTGAAGGTGCCAGGCCTGACCATCTGGGTCTGTAAAAGTTGTAGCAATCACATACGCTTGATGGATTTTACATCTTCAGAGAACACACTCATCATGTCCCCTAGCAGAAGCTAGAGCAAGCAGGATATCAGCAAAAAGAAGGAGAAAACAGACAATGCTTACTATGGCTGCAGCACAGGTGGTTATATGGTTGATTCTCTAACTGTGGGAACAGTTGGGGAATATTCATCAAAACAAGTTTATAGAAAGGAAAGAGAATTGAATCATGATTGTACAAAACATACTGAATGCGAAGGGTAAATCAGCACTGGGGATGGCTCCCTCTCTCACTGTTTGGGAACAGAAGCAGAAGAAAAGAAGGAATTTCAGATTGTATTAAGATCTGCAGTTGATGTATGATTATAGTACTAAGAAGTCTTTGGTAGGAGTAACATAAAATGATGGCAGTGAATGTCTGAGGATGAGGCTTTGCAGGGGAAAGAAAATGCAAACAACCCTGAGGTCTGACTGCTGCTGCTACCTAAAGAGCTTTAATCTGCATACAAATATGTTATCAGCAGATCCTGAATTGGGTATCTCCAACAAAAGGGGAAGGTATAAATAGTGTATCTATAAATAATATGTGTTTTAAAAAGTCACCTTGAGTTAGGCTATGAAATAATAAGGAATTTTTAAGGACTTCTGAGCAAAGCATTAATGAAAAAAATATTATAGCATTAAAATGAGCCAGATTTAGGAACAGGGATGTGTTAGTTTGCACTAGCAAGGATCTGGCTACTAGTAGTTCTAGTAGCAAAGATCTGTCTAAGTTATAAAATGGCCATACTTATTATGATGCCACTTGTGTATTTGCAAAAAGATATTCAGACAAATAATAGTGAAGGCACAGCATACAGTGGGTCAAGAAATAGGTGGCCACTTCAGTGGCCAGTAGGTAGGTGGTCACTGATATTCAGAAAGAGCTCAAGGAGAAGTTCAGATAATGGCAGAAGACAAATAGATCAGTAATTACTAGCAAAGTCACAACATGAAACATCATCAACAAGAAGGGGCAAAGAAAGAAGCTGTTATGAAAGCTAATAACCAAAATTTGGAAAAGACAATCTGAAGTGAAATACAGCTGGTTGAAGATGATGAAATTATTAGGAGATGTTACCTATTTTCTGAGAGACCTCTATTAAAATTACAGGGAGTTACTCTTGAGTGAAAAAAGAGAAAGCACATACAAATGTGCTGCTACTGTGACAAAAGTCAAGGACCGATATAAAGGTCAAAGTATAAGAAATCAGTGAGACAAGAGTACATCAGCTGAAGTGTGCAGAGCATTGGACCACAGGGAATCCATCATGATAAAATTTAGCTCAACCTCTCAAATAATTTCCATCTCTATAAGAATGAAAGACATGAAGGTCATCAAAGGAAATTGCACAAAAAATGCAGTAAATTTCCAGGCTTTGAAGTTGTCAAAAAAAATTGGCAAGATTGATGTTTTTATAAAACTGGATAATTGAAAGGCATGTTCAATAGAAGCCAGTGCCTAATAGACCCATCAGCTTGCCCATAAGCTCAAGGTTATGACCAGGAATCGTATCAGAATGTCTCCAGTGAGCTGACTGGTTAAAATGCTAATACTTTTTGCTGTGAGGTACAGAAGCAGCACATCAAAACAAGTGGGCTAAGTGGCAAAAAAATGCATTATCTTCATCAGGCCAACAAGAACAGAATATCTTGGCTTCTGGGTGGGTGTATTCCAAAACTGAAAAATAAATTAATCATTGTTGCTGAAAGTAATATATAAGGCACAGGATATTTTATATGGCTGTGTTCTAAACAGGGGAGGTATGATCTCAGCATTATCAGAATACAGGCTGAGCCAGCTCCACACAATTGTGAATTGCTGTTACAGTTTCCTGAAAATTTAGCAGTGGAACATATTTCACTTTGCACTATAGGTAGGGAACAGCTAAATTCCATGCACAGCCCCAGGCATGTTTTACTAAACCAAATCCAGTAATTATTCATTTTATCACACAGCTATGCGCAGCCCTCTCAAACTGAAACAAGTATTTAGGCAAATGTCTGAGCATTTGTATTAAGGAAAGTTTATACCTGTTTACTTCTCCTGGAAGTCAAGGTCTGCTACAAGCATGTTATCCTTTCTAATAGCTCTCTACTAATGATTATCTGTGTAAGCTATGGCTTACAAAAGTTGAGGCAATTACCAAAAGCTACCCAGGAAAGTCAATACCTGTAAGAGGCAGAAATTGGCCAGTTTAGACAAGTCTGTGCCTTTAGTGCCAGTTTTCTACCAAGATTTATTACAGAGGAGAGAAGACATTCAAAACCAGGAGGTAAATAAAGAGTGTCTGAGAATGTCTTTGTTGTTAAATGCCTGTGCACAGCAAACAGAACTTTCAGAAGTTCATTTGGCAGGAAGAAATTATGGCATGAATAATGAATTGAAACTGTGGAAAGGGCCCCACAGCACACTGGAGATTATGGCCACCAGATAATTTTTTTTTATTATTATTACTATTTCATGTATATTTTAAAACATATGCTGGATTCTAACAATCTTTATGTAAATGTGACTTTGTTAGTGGTAAAGAGGGGTTGGTTGCTTTTAGCCATGGATATTCTAAATCAAAACAGAACTTTAGTATGAGTACATTAAATCATTACAAAACTGCTATGGAGATTGGGTCGTCATTTTCCCCCAACAGCTGCTTTTCCTGCTTTAGTACATTCTGTTGCTGAGCTTTAGCATACACACACACACAGAGCAAATTAGGAACACCTGAAGGCCATGTGAGTTTTGGTTGTGCTACTTTGCCCTTTACAGCAAGTTTCACTCCCCACTGGTAGTTTGTACCTTTTGTACACTAATATCCATCTGTAGGAGCTGCCAGCATGCTGTTAACAAGAGATCAGTTTGATCAATCAGTTTGATAAGGTTGTGACATACACAGGCAAAACAATGTTTGTAGTTTTCTGTTCATTTGGTAGTCTGGTTACACCAAAAAAAACCCCAACCAAACATATATGAGCTACAGATGCTTGAATCACACATCATTTAAAATATCATCAAAAGTAAGTTTTCTTTTTGTTTGGAGCCCCCATGTTTTGCTTTGAGGCAGCTTGGCACAATGCCAGCAGCAAAAATCATCACTGATAGAGCTGCTACGTGTTTGATGCCACTCTATCTCTGCCAGAGGCTCAGCAAACACATCCAGAGTTGTTCTTTCATTGTGAGGAAGTGCACAGGGATCAAAGTGGGCATTTGTTCTGAAAACTGGCAATAATGACCAAACCCCAAAGGTTGAACAACAACCATGCTCTGACTTTCCAACTCTGCCAACATTCTCCATTTGTTCTGGGTTAAAGCTCCATGAGGTCAATAGGTAGCATGAGAAGAAAGTCAAAGTCAGTCTCATTTTAACAGTAAATCAAGAACATTTTCACTAAGAGATATCCCTAAGGAATACAACCATGGAAGTAACACATTCTATGTTATTAATACTATGCAGATGTTGCATCTCAAAAAAGTGTTGGTTTAGTCCCCCATATTTTTAGTTTGTAGAAATACGGTACCTTAGCATCATCACTTGGGGCTACATAGGGCATCATCCATTTTCCTTCTTCATTTTCCAAGGGGCTTGATTTTCTGCTCGAATGCTGCTGAGGGAAGAAGAACAGGGGATGAAAAAGAGAGTAAAGATAAATTTTTTTTACTTATTTCAATTCCCCACTGTAGCATTCCAATATGGATCAGGCAATTTGCACCTCCTCATTGTGGCTAATAAAATGAATGTACCAGTTCTATGCTATATGGAAAGATTCTGACTCCAGGTCCTGGTAACTGCAAATATCCAAGAAAGGATCATCTTGTTTTCTTAGAAATTTATGTCCTATAGATAACAGGGGACTTGACCTGTTATAGTTCAGGGGCAAATCTGAATCAAAACTCCAAGACTCCTGCCAGGGTTGTTCTATTTTCCACTTACCTGAGATAAGGCAGAGGTTGATGCCATCGAGCTTGCTGCTACATTAAAAGCAGCCGCTGTGGATGGCACCTTAGTACTGGGCTCCACAGGCGCCAGTGCCTCCTGAAACAAATTTACAATCTTGACGAAGTCTCAGAAGTTGCTGAACAGGTGTTTTATTGCACTGAGTCAGAGCTCCACCCCTCCACGATTTCTGAAACAGGGAAATTTCCCACCCACATTATTTGTCCAAAGAGCAGCTGCTGTAAGGTGTGAGCCTTCATATCTGCAGGTCTTGTGGCTGAGCAGAGCATGATGAGGGACCAGTCGTTCCCACCTGGGGCTCACGGAAATGCAGCAGCAGCTGTAACCTGACTGATGACATGATAGAGATCATCTGTGTGAGATAGCCTTACAGTAACTTACAGTAATATTCTAAAAGTAAGGATAGCAACAGCCCAATTAACACATCAACATATTTTCTCCATGCAAACACCTGAATTCAATACATGATTACATCCATAATAAAAAATAATTTTAAAAACAGCTATGGAGATGATCATTAAAATGAAGACATTTACACGGGAAGATGATAAGAATTCTTTTGAAGGAAGATTTTTCCCTAAAAAGTGCTATTGCATCATGATTTCTGTGTACAGACTTGATTTTCTTGTAGTGTTCCAGCTCAAAACAAATAAAAGAAGGTATGATAACCAACATTTCTCTGCTCCCTAAACCATATTGTATCATTTTTCCATTTGAAATGTCTTTCTTATTTCTGGGCTTCACATTTAATACAGCATACAGTTTAACAAATTTAAATGAGATTCAAACATTTCACCTTGAAAAATCATTAAATATTTCCATGAACTACAATACCAATTTCTGATGCAGAACAGCTCCAGATTGCTTACCAGCTGAATTGAATTGTCATCTGGCTGGAAGCTGTTAGCAGATTATTGGAATTTAACAGACTCATCCAACATTTTTTGTTGGAATTTTTTTAATCTAATGAGCATCTGCATGTGTTCAGCGTACCTCTGGGAAGCTCAGTGATTAAATTTTCTAAGACATTATGCAAGCATTACTAGGCACACATACATTTGCATTGAAAGTCCTCTGAATGATTAAAATTAGTGCTTATGAAAGAACTTGAGATTAATAGGATGACAAAGCATCCTGCTTCCTCTTAGAGATGGGCATAGACGTGAAATCACTGCCACTCTGTGGGCATGAGCTTTGTACTAGGACCTTGACTAACAGAAACTAGAGACAAACCCAATGACTTCTATAAGTCTCATTGCATACTTTTCTTATGTGAACAGAGGAAACAACATGAAAAGTTGTTCTTACAAGAAGAACAAGTTAAGACAATCTGATCATCTCACATGGAGTATTCCATCCTTCCAAAAGTTTGATTTCTTAGTTTTAATTTTCTATCTGCATTATCTTTTTTTGTTTTTTGCTTTTTGAAATAAACACATTAATTTTATTATGAAACAGAAGTGCTAAGTTTGCTTTTAACTTCCTTTCTCACCTTCATTGTATTGAAACTTTCTGGAACTGCTCAACTGAAGCCAGAATTAGATAATCCACAGAAACAGGTTAAGGAGACTCACAAGTCTCTCCCATTCCTTGGCTGATGCTTTACCTAATGTGAGCACCTGCATTTCTGTAAAAAAAGTATTAGAACCTTTTTTTTTTCTGTTAGAATGGTGACAAAAAAACATTTAAACAAAAGCAACTGTATACACAAAAGCACACATATTTTCTATTTCTTCTGCTACAACCTACCTGTGTCCCTGGTTGAAGTGCCTAGAAGAGTTTCAGTACCTCAACCGAGGAATGAGAACATTTGTTATGACTTCTGTGTAATTGTGCCATGCAAAGGCTGTCAGACCGAGGTCATGTTTCTGAAATGTATGGAAGCTAATGGGTGTGAGGTTTTTGCACGAGATCCTGTTTTCATTTACCTTGTCATATTGCACTTTTGCTTTTAAGACAAAAGGAAATGAGGAGGGGGAAGAAGCCTTTGGCATCTCTTAGGAAGCTAAGAGTTGCTTGTTGCCTGACAACTACCTTTTCCAACTCAAGCCTTCCCTACATGAAATACCTCTTCTTTAAGCTCAAGTCAGAGGTGGCCAAAGGTACCTTCGACACAAAGCTGGCACTGGTATTAAATTTCCTAAATTAGTTAAAAGTTCAAAATTGCTTTTTACTATTAAGCACTATTCCTTTTGAGGCAAACACATCCTTTTCATAAGGTGTGCACTTGACTATGGCTTGACTTGACTAAATCATCTGAAAGTTAAACTCATAGTAGAAGCTGGTTGTGTTTTCTCTGTATTGAGTGGATGAAAAAAAGGCATGGCAACTGCAAGCAGTGAATAAACACCTCCAGAGTGGATTGTTCTGGAGAAGTCTTAATGTCCAGACCACACTCAGCACCTAACTTCTGAATGTCTGTAAGTAGCTGAGATGAATCTCACCCTGGGTAATCAGCATGTCCTCTTTAGTCACTGGTTTCCAAAGTCACTGATGCTGAAGGAACCTGGCTTTGAGGAGCCTGGTTTTGTTGTTAGCACGTGATTCACCCTGTTGCAATGTGAAGCTGCAAAACACCCTTGGGCAGAAGCTCTATTAGCATATAAATGAAAAATCCTCTCCGGTATCCATTCAAATAACAAAGAAGAAGTTTTGTGATTACCAAGGTGGTAGAGAATGCAAAATTCAATGAGGCTAGTACCAGTACAAACTTCCAGCCATACTCAGGTTAACGATAACCAAAGGATTCACCACCCCGTGGTGATGAAGCAGACAGCCTGACTTGGGACTGCTGTCCATAAAGAACAGGCTCTGCAGTGGTAGCTCATGTCCAGGTGCTTTAAGGGAGTAATATAAAGCTGGGAAGCTGGGATTTCAGTGAAACCCCAGGCTGCAATCTGCAGAAGTTCAGAAGCAGCTTTATAAGCATCCGAGACAAGTTTGGGATAAAAGGGAAATGTCAGAGGGAACGACTGACAGGAGAGGGCTGCAACAACTCTCTGAGGAAATGCATTCCTTACTTGTGGGGCAGAGCCCCTGTGGTCAAACGATACATTTAGTGCAGCTCAAGGAACAGAGCTTTGCTGGGCCATCCCAACATACTACACTTATGGCAATTTTGGGGTCTGTCTGCCAGCTGATGTGGTGAGATGCAATTCATTCAAAGTTGTTCTTCCTTGAAATGATTTTATTTAAGGTTTTTTTCTGCAATGATTTTTTCCCCTCACTAGTCTGATGGTGTCTAAGAGCACAATAAACACATATTAAAACTACAACTACAACTGAGTTTGGAATATAATATTAATGCTCAAAGACATGGGTTGGATCAGATTTAATTATTGAAAGATTTATTAAAGTGACTGCTAACGACAAATAAATTATCAGATAGATTTTGTGTTTTCTTTTCACTTTTGTCAATCATTCTTCATGATTGCTCTCTTCAGACTCTTTCCCATCCTTTACACCTTCTCTGAAGCCTACAGCCTCTTCATTATGTCTCATACCTATACCATGGGCTTTTGATATCAGCTGCTTCAGCACATATTCCTCTCAGATTTTTCAGACCACCTTTCTGAATATAGGAGAAAGGGAGCTTCACTGAAATCCCTTCTGGTTTACTCCTGATTACTATCTTTACTAGAAACAGCCATGTTCTATTCAGGGATACAGGTAAATGGAGCTAATGTGCATTAGTGTGATGCTTCAGGCGTTGAAAGTATTTTCACACTGTGGCCCATCTGAATAAAAGCAAAAATGTTCAAGTCCAAGTCAGAAATCAAGATATCATATCCATCCCCACAAGAGCAATGCTGAATATAGCTCACAAGAATCAGGCTTTAATGTGGCAATGAGTGTGAATCTGTGCCTGATCCACATGGCTACTTCTGGTGAGTCATATGGTCTTTATTTGAACAAGATAAATATACATGTCATAATGAGAAAGGTATACATAAACATATTTATATGTAATTCAAGTATAGATTAATAGAACCTTTCAGGTTGGAAAAGACCTCTAAGGCCATTGAGACCAACTGTTAATCTAACACTGCCTAGTCTACCACTAAACCATGAAGGCATTGGGGGAAGAAAAAGTAAAATGGCTTGGGAAAATTTGGACCATAAGGTAAAATCAGCAGAAAAAGGAGTGCTTCTATTCACTAGAAATATTAACTTGATTTTAAAAGGTCTCTGTATGCTCCTCCCCAAGACAAATAGGGAGTTTAGATATTTGTTGTTATATATATGCTAACTTTACTCAGACCCAGAAAAAACGTGTATTCAGAAAATATTTCAGAAACTCTCCAAGAAGTACTTAATGTCCTGGACAAATGCTGATAGCACGTCATATTTGCAGAGTTATTTCATCTGTTTACTCTTTCACAGAACATAATCTGTCTTCTGATTTGACTCATAGAAGACCTATGCATATGCAAAAATGCAATACCACTTTATTATGGAGCTTATACATAAATTTCTTAAATTAGTCTTTCTTTGTAAGGCACAACCTGCCTCAAGTATTTTAGTTCTTGCCAGGATCACTGCAGTATCCCATCAAACACTAAAAGATGTTGGGACTGCTAAAGCAACTTATCCAGAAATAACTGGCCTCTAAACCTTTCCATCTGTAGTAGGTTAATGGTATCTTGCTATCTTAATAAAATCAGCAGGTGCTGGAGAGGTACGACTCTGAATTTACTATCCTTGCCTAACATATGTGACATCATAGGCTAACATCAGCTTTAAATTTCCAGTGTTCACTGCAGTTAGCTCTAAGGGATAAAGTACATTACAAAAAACTAGTTGATGCATAAATCTGTTGGTTACAGATTTATGGTTACAGAGTGCATTTCCTTACTCTTGAGAGAAAAATGCCATTTCCCATGAGAACTGTTTGAGAGTCCCAGGCAAGATCAAGGGGACCCCAATGCAGGTGACAGGGTCAGCCCTGATTCTGGCTTTTCCTCCAATCCTTCCACATTGTTAAGCAGGGTCTCTTTTACCTC